TACACTTGCAAAAATAACTCTTAATTCCAACAATAATCACCGTTACGACCACATGCATGCCTAGTTTAATTCAGTTTTGCGTTATTTGCTCAAGCCGATGATGGCTTTAGTTGGAGATCATTTGGGAGAAGAATTAGTTGTGCCCATCATCAGCAAGGTTTAGGAATGCGTAGGATGGGTCACACTTGTGAAAAAGTTTACAGTCTAATTTCCCATCAACGATAAACATTTGGTAACACGAAACTTGAAGGATTTAACAAAAGGTCCCGGTTCACCTCTTGCCTTTGTCACCCTTCTTTCTCTTCTCGCTGTTTTGTTGTTTACTAAACTAAACTGTTAACGTTCCTCTTCTTCTTCTTCTTCTTCTTCTTCCCCTCAGAACTAAGTATGGGTTTGGTTAGCAAAAGTATTATTATTCGCAATGTGCTGAATAATAAGGTGAGATGAACTGAGATGACATTACAGCAAACAAGGCTCATTTGTCAACTTGTGCGAATCTGTCATCTCATCCCTTCCTGGCTGGCTGACGAGGCGGAGGGTGTGAGATCAGCTCATCACCATCAGAATCATACGTTAGTTAAGTAAGAGTGCAGTTTATTATATAAATGATTTTCCTTAAATGACGGCTGCACATGGGGCTGCATAATAGTAACAGTTTCGGCATGGGGCGAGGTATGCGTACGTAAGGAATATAAAGCTTGAGTTATTGCTGACCTTTCCTTCCTGGACTTGGACAACGTCTAAGAGGTTTAAGCGTCGAGATATTGGCAAAGTTTCGCCAAAACGGTATGGTTTTAAGCATGGATTTGCTAGAAAGCTTGCAATTCTCGCATGCTTACTTATTTACAGGATGCAAAATATTAGTAAATATGTACGAAGAACAATAACGAGCCATATATTTCCTTTAAGAGATCAAAATGAGTAATATGCGGATGACGAAGCACAACCACGGCGAAATAACTGCACTTTGAATTACTTTACTAAACGAGGCAAAAAATTGTCAACAAGTAGACTCGCACATCGATAAATAGATAAATATGTTCAAAAATGGCAAAAAATAGCTCAATCAAATCCACAGAAAATGAAACTTTGATCACATCGATCACATCCACATTTCAATTAATTTTGGAACTTTATCACGTCTCAAAAAACTTGATGCATATAAACTGCTTAATTCCAAGAGAATGACGTTTCTCTATTGAAGTAGTAGCACTTGATGCTAAAAATTCGCAAAGTTTTCTTGAGCAAGTCATTTTTTATGGGAATCTGAGCAAGTTAAGCGGTTTAGCTGACACCACTCCATTTTATTTATGGGAATGTTTCCCTCTTCTTCCTCCATTCAATTCATGTTGCGTAGATTTTAGCCTTTGGGAGGCAATGATCCGGTGCATTGTGGTGAAAAACACGTTTACTTTTGTGACTTATTTGCACCTTCACTCATTTCATCATCTCCTGAGCACTAGTTGCTACTGAAGGAGTGATAAGAGAGAGATGAGACCTGAGAGAAAGAAGCACCGTTGGCTGTTCAACTATGTATAGAAGAAGGAATAATAAATTACAATCTACAAATCGAATCCTGTTGTCCAAAAAGGAGGAAGTTGAGCAAGAACAAGATCGCATTTTCCCTGAAAAAGTGAGGAAGTTACCTCATCCGTCGTCGGACAGAGTTTAAATTTAAACAACAATTACCTTCTTTTCTTGGAGGATAAAGTCTATCTAAAAATTCACGAGTTCTCACCAACCAATACCACACACTGATTCCGCAACAATTAAACCCTTCCTCCATTCCCCTTTATGCTCCGCAACAATTAAAAGTAAAGTAATGTTGCAGTTGTGTCAGTGTATTTATTTTTGGCCGTGTAGCATGTGCATGCATTAAACCCGCATCATCTTCTTATAGACGGCGCATTGTGACTCGTTCACTGAACTTCTTCGTACTCATCACTGAACAAATAATAATATAGAAAAAAAGTGAACGGAATTAAATAAATCGCAAATTTGGGAGTTCTTTTAGGCCTTTTTTACATTTACGAAATGATGAGGAATGATGATTCTGAGAGAATGCTCTTCTTGGTTGGTGGTATAATATGAAGTTTTCGAAGATTTCCAAAATTTTGACCAAAATAAAGCCTCAATTTATTTACATGTTCTTTTCCCCTCTTCCGACCGACAATTGTTTTAGGGAAAAAAACTGAATCGCATTGTCATTACGATTTACCAAAGTGCATGATTTTCAGCCAGATTTGTGCAACATCTGGCTAAAAGGAGGCAGGAACGTTATAAAATAATGATACCGAATGAGCGGAATGGAATTAAGGAAGTTAATGAAATAGAAAACGGATCCCTTTTTACCTGATTTTACTCAATGTTTGCTTTATTGGTGTAGACAGACGGAGAATTACGTAATAAAAGTGGCCACAAAAAATTGGAGAAATACGGAACTGGTTCTAAAACTCAGGCAGTAACGTGTTGGGTGAGGTTCATAACGAACAAGTAGTGCAATGCAAACTCCGTGGTGGCGAAGCTTTTAGTCTGACTGCGCTTTATTGTTTTCTTTTTTATTTAAAGCACTAAATTAAAATAGCGTCGACAATACAACAGACGGACGGAGTTGGTTTAATAGCTTCCAAAAACGACGGCAATGAACTACCTTCACCTTCACAATTGGCTGTAAGTTTGTCACAAATTATCTATGTCTTCGTCCATGCATTTCACTGACAAAATTGTCAACGTGATGAATTATTCTAAATAAATACATGATTTGTAAATGACGTGACCTACTCGTGCATATTTGTCGTCCTTATTCCCAGTGAAATTAATAAAGGTCACCCTGCAGTGAAGAAAGGTCGCATGAATCAGGGCAAGATTCACCACGAATCAATCTCGGAATAATGTCACCATTCATTGTCTCTCTTTAGTCATGACTGATCCAAATTTCACCGATTTCGATAGATAAATCCTTGATAAGGAACTTTGTGCTTGTCTCGTTTTGAAATGTGAACAGAGACCTCTCAGTTTCACGAAAGAGTCAAATGTCACGGGGACGAGGGATTTTCCGCCTTCATTATGTCACTCATCCCCTTTTAATCGTTTCCCTACCTGCCGGCTTGTGGGAACTGGATCACTTGTCGACAAGACTCAATTTGCTTCCAAATTCGGCACTTTTGCAAATAGCTAAAAATTGCCGTTAGTTAAACTTGCAAGTTTCATTCCTTTCTTTGCAATTTTTAACAATGACATGACATTCAACTAAATATGCAATTGGATTGCATTACAAGCTCGTCATTATTTCCAAGTGGAGAAGGTATTTTTATTATGGCGACCATTATACGAACGAACGACGAGGCCAGATCTCTCTCAGACGGTCAGACTTTACCACGAGTAATCCATCTCCCTCCTCATTGTTGCAGTAATGCATTATTACTCCCGTGGTAAAAAAAAGCTGCTGCTCTGCTACCAGCCTTTGTTCTAAGACCTCCTACCTTGTAATTGTCACACTACTCGGGCCACGGACAGATTGTTGCAGGAAGGCAAAAATCCCCACAGCCATTCTCGTATTAAAGAGGTGAACCAAAGGCTTAGCTTAGGCGAGCAAGTGAAAGAAAACAGCGTGCATTGGAGACACTCAGAACATCAAGTTCAATCCGTTATTCGTAAATCAAGTGATAAACACATGAATGACTCGTTGCATGCAAATGATTTTTAGCAATGTCTTATTTCCCCTAATTTGTTTCTCGATAATGCACTATATGAAAGGGAAAAAGGGTTTTGGAAGAAAGCTTGTGATTAAAAATATGGAAATTTTCATTCTCAAGCTATTCGAATAATATCTCTCATTAATTTTTGGAAAAATTTGGGAAAGGAGTAGTGTCTCAAAATAATCTCCAAATATAAAACTTGAGCACTCGCTTTTTAAAGCGATTTTAAATTGAGTGAATGGCAGATGCATTGCTCGATTCATATTCCACTGATCTTTCCTCGTCTTGCTTGCTTTACTTTCTTTTATGTATCCTCAATCACATCGAAGCCCTTTTTGTGTGTTTTATTCAAGGAATTTAAGAAATGAGTTAGTGGAGTACAGTTATTTACGAAGGAAGGAGCAGAACCAGCCCAATTTATTTGAGGCACGGACATTGGGAGAAGGAAGGGTTAACTTCACTTTATTTATTTGCATTGTGGTCCTTGTTTGACGCGTGGTTTTGTGTGTACGCGTAAAAGGTGGTAAAAATACGAATGCAGGCTGAAGGTGGTGAGAATTGCATAAAATAAACTGTAACAACTGTACCCAACAAAACCATAAACTGACATAAAGGGAACAGATGTGAGAACCGGTGGCATTTCAGTTGTGCCAATGAGGACTGGCGCTTGCTAATAATGCGGACTGACTCAAGAAGCCAATTCAGATTGGCAAATTAACAAGTTTCGTTTAAAGGGGTCTGAATAAGGATGCCGTGGTAGGTATGCAGATGAGTTGGTACAACGCATGTGGTAAAATTACCGTTCTCTTCTCCGTCAAAGAAGAAATACAAAATGATGAAATTTTTAAAATCCAAAAAATGTGGATAACAATGTTTAAAATGTAATAAAATTTGATTATTGTACGAGTTAAAAGTTAATTTATCATATGAAATTTAATAGATCAACTGTACCTGAACCCCATGCAGCAAGTGTGCATGCACATATTATTCTCATATTTTCATATATATATTCTGAAGGCATTTTGCATATGTATGTACACAATTTGTACTACAAATTCATGAAAATTTTGTAAGGCCATAAAATTTTACTTTTGAAATGGCATTAAATTGGTTAAATACTATCCAGCTAATGTTCCCAACTATTTAAACTGAAGGTTAGCTAATAGTAGAAGTGAGACTATTCCTAAACGGTGCTACCTTTTAAATACAACTTTGAAGCTTTTACGAAAATAATTCCAACAACAAATAACATGTGAAATGTAGTATATATTATTTTATTTTATGCTTAATTTCATTCCGCAGGATTTGCTTTCTCGGGGATCTTGTCACCAAGAAGAATGTTGAACCTTCCATCCCCTTCTACTCCTCCTCCGCCCGACAGCAATACCCAGAATTTGGAAACCTGTGCAAAAAAGTCGGCCCATTCTTCCCACCAGTGCCGAATTATGGATACGAATAATCTTCCGAAACCCTCCCCAGCCTCAAGAAATAGGAGGAACAATGGCGTCTTTAGAAGAAGAAACATGTCACCCTGGTCGTCCTCACCTTTCTCCTCGTCGCCCCTCTGCTTGGGCTCTGTGCTCCTCATCGTATCCACTTTTTTGGTCGGATCTCCCGTTACATCACTCGTAAGTGTCCCATTCCTCTCGATATGATGTTCTTCTCACAACAAATGAATTGCTCCTGCTCTCCGTCTCCTCTTTAAAAAATTCACCCAGTCCTTCTCACATTGACATAATGATGACAATCATTATCGCCATTCACCATCCTTGTTATTGCTACAGATTGCTCAGTAAAGTATGTACCTAGGGAGAAAAACGTTTCTTTTCAGCCGATCTCAAATTCAGAATGACACGATGAATGGAAGGGTGACAAACATTATTACGTCGTCAAATCGGGAAGAAGACGAGTCGTGTCCGTCTCTGAGTCAGTTGCGTCACGGAAATGACCCCGTGGAGGCAAAAACATGAATTTGTTTCATCCGCAACAATTTAAAAGCGACCTTTCACACTGATTATTTAGTAGCGTATATTCATACATACGTGGGTATAATTTGGGGATGATTAATTGATTAAAAACCTGAGAGGAGGATAGTTGAGTGTGCACATTGTCATCAGTTAGTACGTCTTTTGTCTGAGGTAACCTCAACTAATTAATTTTGTACGATGGGAACAATAGGCAATTAATCTGGGTGAAATTACAAGTCGTGCAGGGGATGGAATGAGACGTGTTGTGGGCAAAAGATCTCTCTTTGGGAGGTTTTATAAGTCCACAAGTTGTTTACGTAACTGTTTAGAACAGTTTAGTTTTTTGAGAATTTGTTTGGACAGTTTCATGTTTCACATATTTCCGATTCATTCCATTGATAAGAAGGAAAAGTCCATGAACTACTTTCTAAATGAATCCCTCTAATTTTACACCATGTCCAGTATCATAGTAAAATAAACCGTCGCAAACGCGCATACGGAAGTAGCTTCAGACTACTTCACCCCAACCACTCCCATGACATCGCGAAAACACTCAATTTCACTCCATTTCACCTATAGATTCAATTTTTTTTAATCTCATTTTGCCCCGACCACACCCCCTGGCGCGGAGGGGGTGTGGCACAACTCGGGATCACTTCATTTCACTCTATTTCATCCATAGATCAAATTGCACTATAAATCTCATTTTGCCCCGACCACACCCCCTGGCGCCAAGGGGGGTGGTCCGGTTGCCCCCAAAAGTTGATAGGATCCTCCCCCTAGGGTCATATGTATAATGGCGAAAACCGATTTCGATTATCTCAATCCGTTCTTCCGTTATCCTGCTGACAGACGGACAGACAGACAGACAAAGTCTTCGCATAAAGTAGCTGAAGCTACTTAATAAGTACGCGTATTCATAATAAGGCACAAAAAACGCCCAATTCATACCCACTCATGTTATTAGCACTTGTAAATAAACAATAAACACCTCATTTATCTATTTGAAACACGTTGCGGACTCATCTTGCTTATTATGTCACATCCGGTGTATGCACATATACGTACGTAGGCCTGCCTATTGTGCACCTTCACGTCTCTCATTCCTCCATCTAGTCCAGTGTGTACAGTCTCAAAGCGATGGTGGTCTGGTATTGTTTACCGTGGTGATTGTTGATGCGTTGAAAACTGTAAAGTACGCGTCTGCTCCCTCCCAACAAAATTATTAATTGCACCAAGTTTTACTTGCACAATAGGATATGGATTACATTATCTAATTTACATATGTACATGACAAATTGCACCACATCCTTTCCTCTCACTCTTACTTTCTTCCCCTTCCAATAAAAACTGACCATGCATGCTTGTCCAATCCATTAGGCTGCTAATTGTCGACCCCACCCAGGAATTATGTGTCAATGGGACGTTTACTGAAGTGTCCCTTTTTAAATAGGTGTGTCCATAGCATGGCACATATCCCGACAGTGATCATAATTATAATTTATGTGTTTAACTAATGACGGGATATCATTAGTATTAGTGAGATAATCCTTTAATAAAATGTGTACGACAATGCGCGACAAATCATTTTATGGCAAATGTGGTGACCGACATGTTGGGTAACACGTAACATAAGTAAAAGTGGAATGAAGGGATTCTTGTTACCGTTCGCAGTGAATTTAGTTATAAAACCCATGATGAAATCCTTGTTGAACTTGATACACACAAAAAAGCGTTCCATATTAAATTGCAATCTAGAAATTGCAATCTAGAAATCAGTTACAAAGAGCTTATCGCTTTCCATCATCTCCCCCTTTATTCGTGGAAGGGTGTCGGGGTCATCGCTGGACTGGACGTTCGTTGCATTGTTCACACGTTTTTTTATTTCATTGCATCTGGGTCATTGTTACTTTATAAAAACTGTGATAGTGTTTAATATGCAGCTGAGATTCTCTTATAAAAAATGCTATTTTTCTTGCTCTCAATTCCAGAACACGAAACCATCCCCGTCCGCCCTAAAAACGGAGCTTGGATCCGTTGAAGACACCGAATTCCAAACGACGTCCGCGTCCGTGACCCCCATCAAACTCCAAACGATTTCCTCCTTCTCGGGAGAAAGCTCCACGATGGAAGTCCTCGGTGTGGACAAGACCAGCACGTCGGCCTCGGCAGGGGGAAAATTCGACAAAAGTGGGGACTACTTACTCCCCCCAACAGGTAAATTTACAATCAAGTGGTTATAGTATTTCAAATCTGAAATATACTTACACCGCTTGGTTCCAGGGAATGGATGGCGTGACCAAATGACATCTACGCATTTTCATCATGCAGACTCGTTAGAAACGGAGGACCCAATCCTAGATTCCAACGACAAGGACAAGATCGAGTATGAATACAAAACGGGTCTTGGGGCTGGTGGGGATCCCTTAAAAAATGAGAGTGGGACGCGAGAAGGGCTGCAAGGCGAGGGGAGCAACCATCAACCCGTCGTCTTTGTGGGGGGGCCGGGCTACGTCCCTCCAAACTCTTTGCGACAAAGGCCGTCTCTCGAGGCGGCGAATCCCATCTACCAGACGAGACCCGTCGCCCCGGCCGAGTCCAGATACCCCGTTCACCACCAGTCCCCCTGGGATCGCAATTACAGGAATCCATTCAACATGACCAGAGTTCAACGTAAGCCGTCATCTTTGTAGTGACACACTTTTGCTAATTATCTATGTCCGACGAGTTTTTTCTGTTATAAAAACCGGACGGTTTAAAAAGATTGGGTCAGTTTTATTATTACCCAACATGGGTAACACGTCAATTTTTTCATTTTATTGCAAAAAAGAGCTTAATTTCACATTGTGCTAATCGTCTTTCTATTACTCATACGTATATTATAATTTGAGTCATTAACTGGACTTTTGGTTGTGCAGACATCGAAGCCGAGTGCCAGGACGACTTTATGAAAATCCGTGTTGCATTTAATGGATCGTTCCACGGTCTGGTTTACTCCTCAGGTGAGTGTCCACTCTTACCAACACTTAGCATTCTCATTTTTACACCCTTATTACCCTCGCACTCCTCCTCGAAAAATTTGCTAAAATAACATCTTCTTCGTCTTCTTCAACCCAATTATTTTTTGACTCGCAAAGGCAAAAAAGTAAAAGAAATACGGCTAATTACATAATGACGTTTAGTCACGTTACACACAAGTAACGTGACATTTATCTCTCTGTGTACTTAATTATTCGCGTTTACTTTATTTATTTATGCTACGGTAACTTTAATCAGAGAATGTAATTAGTTAAAGCAAGCAAACAGGAGGGTAAAACGGATAACTGTCAATTCAATTTGGTTTTAGACAGCGTCGTTTGTGTACGATAGCGGACTTGACTTTGGTTCCGTGGTGGGTGTCCCATTATCATCCTTTGCCTCGTGTAATTGTCTTGAGCTGCGTACAATTAAGATGGAGACGGGTTCGAGTGCAGTCATTCATTCGTTTCCATTATTGGGTTTCCATTACACCTTTTTCTTCCTACGTGGGATTGACTACAGGAAGGAGATTGTGTCCAAGATATGCACATGTTCAGAGGGGAAGAATGTGTAACGGGACGGGGATACGTGGGATGGGATTCAATAGGCCAGAGCAATTTCGAAAATGGGTTAAAATCAAACTTTTGACGTTGACTTGAATTATTTATTGTTCAACTTATGAGCTAAGCACGACTCAAAAGTAGAAAGAAGGATTTTTGAGACGGATAAGAATTTGGTGTCCCATCCAAGCAGAATATTAGTGTCCAGGTTGGGTGCCTACCTCTTCAACTTGTTCGCAATATAAGTATCTACGTATGAGAAACAGTGAAAAATTTAGCGTTATTAATTACACAACACGCTGACAAAATCGTATTAAACCTTCATCACGCCTGATTAGTTATCGTTATCCGTCTCGTCAATTAGTTTACTTGAATTGTGGCAAATCACGACAGAAAAGAAAGGGAAGCTCTGATTTCTTACACGGCAAGAACCAGCCCCAAAAATCTCATCTTGGCAGTTTGTTCATTGTGCTCAAAACAAATCACATTTCCTGCTCGTCGAAAAATTACAAAGTTGCATTATCTATTTGAGCAAATAGAGGAAAACAAACAGGCAAGAATCTCTCTCCTCCTCGCGTGGAGAGAGATTCGATTTTATGATTATGATTATGGAAGGATTTTTTAATGAAGAAAACGGGAATTTTGAGACGAAAGAGTTTGTAATCTTATTAATGTGCATTATTATGTTACCGACCGACTTTGGTTGGGTAGTGCCATGAGTTAACGTGACTTGGGCAGCGTGGTTGTAAATCTTGGAGAGATGGGCAATGCAATGGTGGTGGTAATTCGCAAGTAGTTCTGCTTCTAGTGTCAGTGCCAGTTAGTTGAAATTGAGGTAAAATTACGTAATAAAATACATCATCATCAAATCTACAGCTACTATGCTGCAAGACTTGTAAAGATTCATCGCTCTTAATGAAGGTGGCCAATTGTACTTATTATCATTTTAGCCAGTGCAAAAACCATGCTTTATTCAAAACTCTATAATTCGATTTACTTATTACATTATTGTTTCTAGACAGCTTCTTTACGTAGCAATAATTAAATTAGCAGCATCACAATGAATATTAAATTGATAATGAATTGCATATTAAATAATTATGGGCATGGCTTCATTTTCGTTTGTCTCATATTTTCATCCTCGGTCTTGCTAACTACAAATCAGGACAAAATTAAATGAAATGTTAGAAAAAACTGGCTGTTTATGTAGATATATTAGTTTTCCATTCTAGAGATGAAAATAATCATCGTCAACTTAATTTCTTTTCCTTTCTTGATCTCTCCCTCCACCACTTTTTTCCTCGCCTATTTCATGCAACGTCGTCGGAAGGGATGCATATGCATTTTTTTGTTAATTTTGTACCGTGATTTATGTATGTACCAGGAGCCAATTAACCAAACCAACAACGTCCCTTTGGCTCTCCATGACTGGAGAATAATTTACTATCTGCCCTTAAGTACCTCTCCCCCCCACTTTCAATTTCCGATTCCCATTTTACGACTACAAATAAGTTTTACCATGCCGTAAAACCACTATTTTTCTCACCCACAGGTTATTCCTACGACCCTGACTGCGTCTATGTTAACGGGACTGGAAGAGACGGATATGAATACTTGATCAAGCTCAACCGTTGCGGAACTTTGGGGGCCAGCAATCACGCGGAGGGCAGAAAAGAGCCGTCGGTAATTACAAAAATAACAAATTGGAGAAGAAAATAATTAAACGCGTCGTTTCATTAGTTGTTATTCACTCATCCTCCGAAAAGTGACAGATTTAACAGCGAGTTTTTTTAATTTGTAAACCACTCCACGTGTTTGATAGCCATTTGAAGAGGTAGAAATTTGAGAAATTTGAGACTAAAAACAATTGCTTTTTTGTATCCTCCAGAAAAATTTTATGTGGAATACGGTCACAGTTCAGTACAATCCAATGATTGGTAAGTCCCCCAGATTTGTGACTAATAATCTGATTGTCAGTGCAGTGAGAGAAATTAACACAATTATGTAAGTAGATACATATTTACTTAAGTTTGTATTACATAATTATTGCAGAGGAGGAATGGGACGAACATTTTAAGGTCACTTGCGAATATGGATATGGTGAGTTGAAGAAATCTGAAATCTTCAAAGTTTCAGAGTGACACATATAATAAAATGATGTAAATTCGTAGATTTCTGGAAAACGGTGACATTTCCCTTCCTGGATGTCGAGTAAGTTTGAGACGATGAACTTTCACATTTCGTCCCTAGCATCATCTCGTTGATCATTATTTAATAACAATTGTAATTATGCAGAGTGGCGACAGGAAACCCAGTCGTATTTACTCTTACTCCGCCCGAATGCTACATGGAAATTCGGTACGGGTTTGGAACTAGTGGAACCCGGGTGGGCGGTCCTGTTCGCGTCGGAGATCCGCTCACCTTGATGATCTACATGAGGTATGCAAATCCATATTTATTATGAGCCAGCTATGAATTATCAATGATGTCGCTTAATCCAACGTTTTTTTAAATTCTTCCGATACAGATCGCAGTACGACGGTTTCGACATTGTTGTCAACGACTGTTACGCGCATAACGGGGCTACCAAGAAGATTCAGCTCATCGACCATTACGGGTATGTGGGTGAAATGCAGGTGCTTTTAGTTTTATTGAGTGGGGAGGGAGGGATAGAAGCGAACGACGGTAGCACAAGTTAATTTTTATAGGTAACTGTTACAGCAATTAAGTAAATCGTTGACTCGGTAATAGCTATCATTTCTTGCGAGGTGACATTGTCTGAAGCAGCCAAGATGTTTTATACATCCCAACGAATTCAATTTATTCCCAAAATTTTTAATTTTTAGAGCAATCTGCTAGTAGATATGTCAAACCTTATTTTTCATAAAATAAACGAGATACAAGAATTCAGACAAAATTTATGACGATGTTAATTTATTCGTACGTTAATTCATTAATTTCTTGAATAGGTGCCCTGTGGACAGCAAATTGATGTCGCCCTTCCGAGGGACGTGGTCTCACACGGGAGTTTATGAAACACAAGTGTTTGCTTATCTTAAAACGTTCCGATTCACTGGGTCACCAGCTCTCTACAGTAAGTTCTGAATGCGAATTATGCACAAACTCATAAAATAATTGTCTTTAGAGACCATAAAAATCATATGAAATTTTCCATATTTATCCAAAGTATTAAAAACCTTTCTATTTTCAGTTGAATGTGATGTTCGCATGTGTCATGGGCAGTGTCCGGTAATTAAGTATTTATGTATTTTTTAAAATTGGGTTTTTCAAATTGAAATCCAATTTCTAAACTTTGTCTTGAAAATTATTTGCATCACAGAGCCAACCATGCTACTGGCGAAATGTGAAAAGCGTTAGGAAACGTTCCGTAGACGAGTACGGGATAGAATCTGACGACAAGGATCGGAATTCGACGCTGTCAGAAAATCTGAGTTTATTCCAAGCACTGCGAGTTTTACAAGAGGACGAAGAACCGGAAGCTACCCGATCCGAGTTTAATGATCATGAAAGCGTGTGTGTAAAAACGGGGACTTTCACTGCAATGATTGGTACGTAAAATATCTGCACAATTAGTCGAAAAATGGAGTCCCTTTCTTAATGATTTATTTATTTTATGAACATTTACGCAGGTCTGAGCACTCTGATTCTCATACTTCTCACCATTTCCACCATGATCATGTGTTTCCGGATGAGGCGAGTCAAGTCGTTGGACGACTCGTTGGACGTGGCTGATATTCTGCGTCCATATTCTCATCACGCTGCCACCCCAAGTCCGAGATGGGCGTCCCCAACGTCATCCCCCATGCCACCAATTATGGGAAAGCGATGATGAAGACGGTCCCCAGTAGTTTTTCATAATATGCCGAGTAAATAATCAAAAGAGTAAAAATAATCCATAGTTTTTTAAGAGCGTCTACTAGTAAAGCGGAAATCCTTGTACGATGTGACCTTAATCGTAATTTACATAATTTGGTTATTATTCCAAGCTGGTAGATTTTATTTGATTATTTGCTATCGATTGCAATATGTTAAACTTGTGATGATTCCAAAAATGGATAGAAAACATGATTTTAGTAAGATTAGTTCCTTCGCGGAACAATTGTACCAGTAGAAAAGCAATTACTTTTACAAAGTCAGTGAAATGTTTTGCATATACAAAAAATGCTTTTCATTTCGTACCAGCCTTTCGAATTACATTATTTAGGATACATACATTCAAATTTGGGGTTTTAATTTAGCTAATTTAATCTAGCTTTAGTATAATCAAGTAAAACAGGGATTAGTTAATTTCATTGTAAATAATAATATGAAGTATACATAAGTTATAGTTTTGTAAATTTTTCGCTAATTCATCACAGTGCCAAATATACCTAATTTTAAGCTGGGAATGGAATAGTGTGGTTTATATTTACGGATGGTTATGGATTTCTAAAATATTTGGGTTGTTCTTATGGTGGTTGGTTAGTCGTTTTTATCATGTGCTTGTAATAAATAGTTTGGTAGGCTAAATGTAAGGTTTAGGTAAGGTATCAGTAAACTAATATAGAAACTGTAATAATGGGGTTGGGATTTATAAAATTTGGGAATATATACAAACGGTTATTTTAGTTTAGTTAATCCATACGCTGAATTACAGTAATATTATGATATGATAGAATTTAGAGTGATGATGAATAGTATGACTTCCTGATATTTATACGTACCAAGACGGTGATATACTTACCAAAATTTCGTTTCATTACATGAAAATGGACTTTTCACAAAATGATAAAATTATAGTGTCGCTAGCCAGTTTTTCATAGATTATGCATAGTTAGTTACCATTTATTAAGAGTAAGCCTCGTCTTGTCTTGTACCGGTGTGTGTATTAAAATAAAGAAGCAATAAAAATCAAATATCTCAAATTACTGGGGATCTGGTGGAGAGGAAGATTTCTTATTTCGGTGAATAATTAGATTAGATTTAATTGATTTAGACCTTTATTCACGTGTCAATAGTAATCAGTTTACAAAACTGGTTCAAGTACTCCGAGTACTGTACTCGAATTTAACCCTTCGTAACGAAAACAAAATTGTCGTTTTGCAAGAACTGGGAGGAAGACACAAGTCGTCATTATAATTTTCGAAAATCCGGAATTTTGTACATAATTTAATTCGCAATAGTTGCCACAATTTTTGTTGAATTTATTACTAAAAAAACCCAAAAGTCCCTTTAAAACTCACGGGTTGTAAATTTTTGACTTTGACCTTAATAAGTAGGTATTCCGAACCCTGATTTTAATAATAAGATAATATAACAATAATAGTAATGCATAAACAGCTTTAAAAAGTTTATGTATAACCTAAAATCACGGATAATGAGAATCGAAACAAATTGGAAGTCTGTGTGATATAATTGTTGACAAGAGGTATTTTTTGCGTATACTAAAATTATGGCATCTATTATAATTGATTATCACATAATCACATATTGTCATTTTCGTAGGATTGTCAATTAAGTTGACTAAATAAAGCTGCCAAATTTTTAGTTTGGCAGGAAATTATTAAAATACTAATAAATATACATATCAATAAATCAGATCCACTTAATATCTCTCTGAGACGTTGCAGGATGGAATTTCTGCAAAAAATAAGGTACACAAATTTCAATAAATTTCAAAATCTGGATCAGTCAATGTATGAAGTCGTCGGGTGCCGTATTTCTTCCGAGTAGCTTTGGATAAACTATTTCTTTTAATGCGAGGACCGGTTTGGCTTTTTAGACTATGTGATCTGAACACATTGTTTGCTTGACTACTTCGAACTTGCATTCCTCCCGACCCAGCTGGGCTGAGGTCACTGGAAGGGGTGGCTGCCGGAGGCTGAATGGTTGTTCTCAGTACAAAATATACGACTCCAAATCGAATGGAGTTATCTCCACAGAAAAATGCACAAACATTAATTATTTGAACCACAGGAGGGTAAAGCCAGTCTGCCAAGACGTAGACAAAGATGCAAAGGCTGGCGAATAAAGTCCAGAGATACGCAATCAGCCAGAAACGGAGGAAAGTTTTCTTTTTCTGCAAACAAATAATATTAGATTATTTGTTTATGCATCATAAGTATTACTGTATAATTAGCATAACGAGTACCTTAAAGATAAATAGCAGTCCAACCAGATTTAGAATGATCCTCCAAATTCGCAATTCTTCCTCTGGAAGGAAACATACAAACTTGTCAAAATCATTGAGACACGTGGACATTTTTGTTTCCACTGTACAAAATGATTTTGGGTCGACAGTGGGCACTGAAATTAGAAGCCATGATCTTTGTACCTTTAATGAAGAACATTCCTCCACCCAATAAGAACTCAGTGAGTGCATGAGAACTAAGAGCAAATATGTTCCAAATCTGTAATCTCGGTGAAATCAATTCAACATGTTATTACAAAAAAAATTATAAGTCATATTTATGAGCTATGATAAACATGCATGCACTTACAAATTCGAACATTACTAAAATCGCTGCTCCGAGCCTTGGTATGTCATTGTAAAATTCGAAAATCTTATCAATGCTTTCTCCGACAGGTTCCATGAGCAAGAACCTCGGCGAGTATTTGGGTGAACTTGCCGGTTCGGAAGCATTATTCTGGCTCTGAATTGTTGAATCCACCACAACAACAATGTCATTTTTGTTGAACTGTGTCGTATTAGTTTCTAGTTTCGTTGATGTGTCAAAGTTTTGTAATTCTAGTTCGTTTTTTCGAGATGGGCTAATGTCATCAGTTTTTAAAGCTTCTTCCGCCTTAGCGTTTTGTAAGAGTCGTCGTAAAGCTTGCAGGAGGACGATGGTAATATAAAAGCGAAGGATGACAACGACGGCCAAATTTATGAACCATATTTCGTCCGAGACCAAGTCGTGGGTGGTGTTATACACACCGAAGCCTACGAAGAGAAAGTCTGCAATAATGGAGATCGGTAACCATGAAAGGAGGATTCCTCGCCTACCCTGGAAAAATTGCGTGCAGATAATAATGTAAAACTATGTGTAACTCTACAAATTTTTGATTTAAATTGGATACATATTTACCAGGAAAATGAATCCCCAAAGAAAGAACGACAAAATAATTTTCAGAGAAATTATACACAACCCGAAAATAGTTCGAAATCCGATAGGCACGTCGTCATACGTGTGAGTGTAGACAAAACTTCCTAAATAGTTTAGGAACCAGTAACAGGAGACGGCCTAAATTAAAAACAAAATTACCCATCATTTTATTACAGGTTATGCAATTTGTATGTATCATACATGCAAATTAAAAAAAACTGATTCATACATCATGTATGAATCACTATGTAAAGGTTATTTGTCAAACATTATCTTACAAAATCTAACAACGCCGTTAAAACAGTCGCACTTCCCAATGGGATTCCAAACCGGAACAACGATTTTGATATCATGTTAATTTTTCATATCGGTTTTCATTTACAAAAGTGTTTTTCGTTGTTTGTCGTTGTTCCTTCCGTCTGTAATTTATGTACACCGGTTAATAATGATGCGTCCATGAGAATAGTGGCTAACAATGGCTGACAATGTAAGACGTAACGTAATTAGCGTCTCAAAAAACACTTGTAGATTTTAAAGTCTTAAAAAAATATCACATTTTTATCGAGGCCAAAACACTGAAAATCACATGTAGATTTTATTATGAAATCAGTCAATGTGACTAGTAAAAAAAAGTATGTACGCGACGTTAAAATTATACATTTTTGAAGTTCCACGAAACGTTAGATTGTGTTATAGTACATGTGTATGATTTGTTATCAAGAGTGATCATTCAATGATCACTTCACGTAGAACTTTACACACATTGAAACCGGCAAAGGGTTAACTATTATTATGGGAAGTTCACACGCTAATGACTTCATTACTTAAATGCAATATCCCATTTATATTAATGGGCTCCAAGTAATAGTGAGTAGGTATACTATAGGTATCACATTTTCATACTGTAAATACAATAAAACTGAATTAACGTAGGTTAATTCAAGTTTTAATATTATTATTATTGTCGGTCTCGATTCAAAATTAGCTGACTTGACTTGACTCTACAACTATGACGGTAAAGTGAGTGAATGCTGGTCTGGTAATAGAAAGGACTTTAGTAGTAAACGAACTACTTAAATTACAACAATTAAACATCTTTCACATTCAACCGAATTTCAATTGAATGACGAAAATATTGGTGTAAAAAAAGTGTAAAAAGTAAAACATAATACATTTGAAGAAAGTAAACGATGAGAATTCTCAAGTCTGGAAATCTTGTGAATTTGAGCAAAAAGAGCGAACATTGAATTTTGTAGGTTTTGTTTTGGTTGTTGGCTGCTTTTCTGATTTTTTCACTCCATGAAATAAATTGTTTCAAGTAATTACAAAATCGATAAGCAATAATAAGACATCCCTTGTTGGTGACAAAACTGTGAATTCGGTGACGTACTATGAAACTTTAAAGTCTAAAATCGTGCTTGAATAATTGAAGCAATGTTGACAAAATAATTGACAAAATGTCAAATAATACGAGAACTGTTACCCGTCTTGCTCGGGAACAGAATGAACAACGAAACCGAAGAAAACAAGTCCTTGTGAGTAAATATCATTTTAATTTGACTTAAATACGTACAGTCGACATTTTTGATAACATTTTTGATATATCCCAGGGTTCCAAGGAGGAAATACCAGAACCTGAGGAGATCACGATTTCTGATTCTGACAGTGCTTCTGATTATGAACCTGACAATTCTGGTCCCAGTGTCCAGTCCAAAAGGGATGCCGCCTTGGCGAGGAAAAGGGAACTGAATCGGATAAGAACACGACAAGTGAGTATGCCTTAAATAAAGTGCATTAAATAAATAATTATTATAAGCTCTCTTGTCATCAATCATTTGTTTATTTGTTTAGAAACGAGCTAATATGACCGAGGAAGAAAGAAATTTGGCACGTCTCAAGGGAAAACTTCGCTCAAGGAAGGTTAATGCAGAAACTACTAAAACTTAATTTATGAAATTTGATTGCATCACAAATCACATTTAAACTGATAAAAAGTTCGTTTTTTTTAGTCTAGAGCAGACACGAGTCAGGCGGATGCTCGAAGAGCTCACCGTACCCTGACCACCCGTTTGCGAAGAATGCGCGTAAGTTTCTTATTTGCTTATCGATCATGGATTCAGATTGTCTAGTTTTAATTGGATGCATATGTATTTTAGACTGATCATCTGGTCTGTCCCACTGAAAATGCACCGGATGATGCTGTACCAGGAGAAACATTTTTGGAGCGTCGTCGTCGCCGTCAACGGGCCAAAGTTAAAAAATCAAGACAAGAAAAAATGGCGTCTAGAACCCTTGAAGTTCGAACAAATGAGAATGCACCAAAAAGAGTTATTGCAAGAATTGACCGTGCATTAGATACTCTAGATGAGCGAGGAATCCGTGCAGAAGTTAAGAATTTGAAAGCCGAATGGGAAAAGATGAAGTTAAACCATTCGAAATTGGATCCTGAAGTGGAAGACGATTTGTCCTGGAAAGAGTTTATGTTACTCAAAATTAGAATGAACTTTGAAAATGAGAGAAAAATTCTTTGTGAGGAGTTACTAGAACTTGAATTAGGACCACACGTCCCTACGTTACCGGGCGTAGTAAGAGCTCCAAATGATAATGGTCAGCACCAGTTTCTCATTATTTAAGGGTTTATGTCAATTAATCAATTAATTAACAGGCATTTTATCATATCTTAATATTTAAAACATAGACAACATGGATAATCCTAGTAGTAGTACTGGAACCACAAATGAAGCAGAAAAGGAAGTAGTTCGAAATCGCTGGAAAGGTGCCTTGAACCCTGATGAAGACGCGATTATGAATTGTTTCAATCAAGTTCAAATAAAAATAGAAGCAGAAGAACGTGATGAAGGTGGTGGTGATGATGAAACAACTGATAATAGGCAATACCAGACCGAGGTCACAGACTGGATTGCTCGAGTAATCACTGATGAACAAGGAGGAAATAGAAACAAGGCTGGCCAAAGTGATGAAAAAGGAACTGAAGAAGTAACAAGATCAGCTAAATCGCAAGCGATTGACAAATTTCAGGACATCGTTAATGCACCCTCAAAGGAAGCCCGAGACAATATGCTTAGTGATTGGGAACAACGTGCTATGCAGTCAGCGAACGAGTATAAATTAGAAAAACTCCAAAACCAATTCCTGTTATCCAGAAACCGTTGGATCTCCGAGAAGCCTGACGATGGGGAGAAACGAACTCAAGCAGACAAGGACAGGAATATTTTGATGGAAACAATAAACAAAGCAAAACGTCGCAATTTACAGGAAATAAGTAAAGAATTAGTTCATAAAAGGGAAATGTTTAGCCAGGAAACACTAGCTGCAAGGAAAGCTAGAATCGAAAATTTCTACAAGGGCATCTCTTCCTATATAAAACAATACAATCAGCAGAAAGAAGCGGTTAAAAAGTTAACGGAAGAGGAGAAACAGGAGAAAAGGAAACAAAAATTGATCTTGTCCAAGGATCTAACTAAAGCAGAACTTAACGCCATAAATGCGGCAAGTAAGTCTAAAACTCACAGGAATTATTGTATTGTTGTATTTTAAAACACCGGTTTTTATGTACACATGTATTTAAAAAATAGATGCAAAGCTGCGAATAAAAATGGAGCGAGCCGAATATGAGATGAACATCGACCTCTTGGAAGCTACAGGGCTTCCAATCCCAAAGGCAAAATTTGGCAAGCGGAAAGGGCGGACAAAAGATAAAAAAGACGCTGAAAAATTAAATTCTACTGCTAACGTGCCTGGCGAAGGCAACATCTCGATAGATAAATTCGAATCCGCTTTTCGCACCGAAAACTATTATAAAGGAATTGATTACTGGATTTCTGTCAATGTTTCAGTTAATGTTCGAGTAGAAGTCAGGTCTTATCGAAACGTACTCTTTGAACTATTGTCGGCTCGAAGAAAAATAGTGTCTCCTACTGGTCAAATTACTGATTCGATTCAACTATCCTCAACCAAAAACGTGGGAGATGTTACCAAGAGTATCCTCGCGAATGAACTACCTCAGTATGAATGGATACCTATTTCTGAGGAACAATCTCTCCAAGATATTCGAAGGTTTGTTGACTTTATGACCAAGTTTGGTGATGCTGTGAAAGAGCATTTGTCATTCAAGAGGTTTTACACACTTACAAAACTCAAAGACTACAGTTACAAAAATTTACACGACTCTCCCATACTTTATGAAGAACGCCGAATCGAACAGAATGAACGGCTTAGAAGAAGTTATATTAAGAAAAAATACGGCGTCATTTTGGGCAAAGGGGAATATTTTGATAAGAAAACAATGTCTGCTGTGAAGAAGCCACCAAAGAAATATCTTGCGTATGAAAGGAAAAGGGCAGAAGAAGGAACACATCCAAACCCCACGTGTAATGAAAATAGTGAAAATGCTGGTAAAGAAATCCCCGAAATCGGATCCGCAAAATCACCAACAACAGCCTCTAAAGGCACTCGAGTGCATGTGGCTAGGGTAATTTTACCACAAAATTTAATACTTTTACGTTTATGATGTCATATATGTGAAAATAAATAAATTGAACTTGTATATTAAATTAAATCCAGAAACCAAAACCTAGACAGAAAAAAGCTACCCCTCCCCCTCGCTCCTTATCCCCTCGGATTACCAGAAGTCAAAGATCACGCAAAACAATTGGCACCACCACCGTCACTCCTCCTTGTTACAGTAATGAGATTGAGGTAGAATATTCCAATTCCAGCAACGGGTTTGCAGACTCAGGGGATGCACATGACCATCAAGATGATAGCGGATGGGTTCCGCTTGGATCTTGTGAAATTGACTCTGTAATTCGAAATGACATTGTAATCTAAGCATAATTTTATGAATATTCTAATTAATTCAGTAATCAGGTTAACTAATTAATGGTTCGTTTCTGATTTGGAATAGCTAAATCTTCCAAATAATAATGGTGGTACTCAACAACAGCAAAACTCTTTCAATTTTGCACATTTTCAAAGTGCTCAGCATGGATCATTTCCTACTTTGCAAGGAATACCGCAGCAATTACGAACCGGAAACATTCCACAACAAACTTCTATCTCATATGCAAATTTTTCACAGCCTCAAAATCAACACCAAAATCCTTTTAATCTGTATCAAAATATGCCACAACTTCAATTAGTTGACCAGTTTACGAATCAAATGACCAATCAGCAAAACTCACAAATTCAGTGGAATCCTAACATCCAAATGCAGCAGGGCATTTCTCAACCGCTCAACTACTCGGTACAGTTTTTACCAAATTCTCAAATTAACATGGTAAGTACTAGCAATTCTTCCAAGTCTTCCAACGGATGCATAAATTTTGACCAAATTATGTCAATCAACCACAAATTTAATTAATATGAAATTTGCAAAAGACACGATCTGCTAATGTTCAAGTTTGGCAGAGATACTAGAATCCGAAGTGGAGAAAACCTGCAGTAAATTTGGATAGTGTAAAATTTGCCAACTTTTGTGATTGATTTATATAGATTTTAGTTTGGTCAAAATCTGTGAGCATCCGTTGGGAGGCGTCTATAAAGTAGCCTAGATTATCTTCTACTGTATAATTGTTAATCTCCACATTTATCATTTCATGACAGCTCCAATATCAACAGCACGCCTCGTCGTCCCAATCAAATCAGCAATCGTATGATTGGAGCCATGCACAATCCAGTACAATGACCAATCAAATCTCCGGTGAAATGCCACACCTGCAAGCTCAATTTCCCATACGAGCTACCGATGATGATCACGATGCTGTTTCTGCGCCTCCATCTCCAATATGTACTTATACTGATGAAAGTAGTAGTGAGGAGGAGTGTCCACCACCTCAGCAGCGTCGCTCCCAAAAGAAAGTAATCGAAGTAAAACCCAAGCTTTCTTCGAAACTAACAACTTCAGAACATTATTCCACTACTAAAACACCAAAGAAAGAGCCAAATTCCTCTAAGAATCTGTCGCCCTCTACACAACAAAAGAAACGAGGAAGACCAAAAGGTTGGACCAAGACAAAGTTGGAAAGAAATACTTCATCGACCTTCATTCCTGGACAACGTCGAGATATTTGGAATAACTACAAGAGAAGAAAATTTTATAATACTCCTTATCGGGATATGGAGCCTCCTCCTCCTCCCACCATTACTGCTCCTCCCCCAATGGAGTCACCTTTTGAACGAAATCCTGAACAAATACGTGACTCCATCTTGACTGAAATTTATCCCACCCTGTTACCAAAGTGTCCTCAATGTGATAAAGTACTGGATGGAGATGCTGCATTAAAGTCACACGTGGCTGCGGAACATCCTCCAGCTCCACCAGCTACCCAAGACGACACGGCAGCAAATACAAGGAAACGTCCAGCAACTCCCATTCCAAAACTGGACTGTCCGGATCCAAAGTGTACATGCCAAGTGGAGGGAGTTGATAATTTAGTCCAACACATTTTTTGTGTCCACTTTGAAGCGAAGCAGTACAAGTGTCCATTTAAACATCCTTCAAAGACAGTGTCTTTCTCAAAAGGTCGCCCTATTGCATGCGATAGTTATAAATTTGAAAGGAACAGTTTAAGGAATCATATTAATCGTCAGCATTACGACGTTTTAAAAACTTCGGTGAGAAACAAGCAAGTCTAATTGTAAGCAAACAATAAATGACACAAATTGATATGTAATTCAATGTATCTATTGCAGTGGGTCATGGGAATACATCGGCCTAAGGCGATCGCAGATAAGGTGGATTTTTGGTGTCTGCACTGTCAACAATGTTACAAGACGTATTCAGATCTTATGGATCATTACAAAAGCACACATGAAATAATTCGTTACTGCTGCGTCTACTGTGGCATATATTTGAGAATGGAAGACTTTTGGATGGACCATGTCAAACTATTTCATCCTGATGTGAGTAAAAATGTACTATTTACGTCATGTTTTCAATTTGAAATTCAGGATGAACACACGTCGGTCTGTTATCCTTCCATGTTTAGAAACCATTTCGATCTCCTCCAAATCCCATTGAAGTAAACAATGAGGATCTGTTCCGCTGCGCCGAGTGTGACTCGGAGTTTTCTGCACAAAATTTCTTGGACGAACACAAAACTCAAGGGCACACATTATTACACGATGAATCGGATGACAATTCTGTTAAGAACAAACTGTTTTTCCTCTGCCGAGCTTGTGATAAAAAATTCCAGACGGAGGAATTACGCGATAATCATTTCAAGTCGTGCAAGGATCGTAATCACATCTGTTATTGGTGTAAATACAAGGCAACGTCGGAAGACGCAGTTGAGCTTCACATTAAGGAGTTTCACCCCCAAGAACCACCGGTAAACTAACATCTCTAAACTAAAATCTCTACACATTTCTTATTTTTGTATTCTTTGTAACAATGCATTTACAGGTTCCTGAAAATCGGGAAGACAACTGTACTTACTCCCACGAGCCTTATAAGTGTGAACTTTGCAAACGATCATATTATTCGCTGTATTCGTTACGACTTCATTGGATTCACAATCACCAATTGTACAAGTATTTGCAGAATGTTAAAGTACAGGTACTTTTATTTATTTTTAATGCCCTCTTATAAATATGCGACATCTTTAAAAAATATTTTTGTTTAGAATCCGCCACAAGAAAATGCAAGTGAAACAGCAGAGCAAGAAATAGAAGAGAAACCCAAGTTGGCACAAGCAAATGCTCAACGGTCTGAACAGGCTACTGGCATAACATGCCCGATGTGCCAAGCTACTAACCTCGATGTACACCAAACCCATAAAACTTTTGATAAGTTAATGCGGCGATACTGCGTACCATGCGATCGCCTATTTTCTCGAACCAATGTTCTCTCTCAACACAATGAAGCTACTCATGGTATCCTTCCCCATCAAACGACTCGGCCCCTGCCTTCTGGTCGAAGAGGATCTCCTGATGTTAATGCTACCGATTGCATACCCTGCACTTGTGGAACCAACTTCACCATACAAGAATTTCATACTCATCATCTTTTCATAAAGAGAGACAACGACATTAGAATTTGTCAGATTTGCGACAAAAAATTCTTTTCCCACGTCAACTATCTCACTCATATACATAAAGACCACGGCGTTCCCAAGAATGAAAAAATGGTCGTTATGAGAGGAAAAACTTTACCAACTGTGCCACGAGAACTGGTTCCAGAAGATTACGAAAAACTGTCCTCAACAACAAAGTTACAAACGGCCAATGGAGAAACCACGATTTCAACTTGTAAAGTATGTCTAAAAAATTTCAAAACGTTGGAATTTCTGCATGCCCACATTGCTGATGCTCACAAAGAAGATGCCTTTACAAGAGTGGCCTGTACCAAGTGTAATTGTACATTTACGACAAAAAATAATCTTTCCAAGCACGACAGATTTCACCACCGTGAGAACTTGACTAGACTCAAGTGCCCAGTTTGCAAAAAACTCTTTCAGCGAATGGATCATTTAAGAGACCATTCGAGAAAAGCCCACCCACGCGACCTGTGGGCGGTGGGTGATGTTGAGGTAATAATAAATAGAACAACTTTATCCATGCCTATGAAGTTAACCTAAATTTGGTTACCAAATTAATTTGTACTATTCGCGTTTCAGGAAATTTTACTGGAGAAAGTGTTGGAAACCGTTCCCAATAGCTTCATATGCAAAATTTGCTCGTCCAGCTTCAAAACAGACGACGGTTTAAAATCTCACATGACAAATAAACACTTTCCAACGCATTTTTCAACATTTTGTGGTTTGTACCCCACAATTTCATCATATATTTTATCCTATTATTCTCTATACATTACACATAAATGATCCCAAGTTTTATATTCTTTAGAACACTGTGGACTTCAAATGAATCCAAAGTTTATAAACACGCACATAGAACAGTACCATTTTAACAAGGCAAGCCATAAATATTTATGAATATACTCTTATAATGTACTTTTAAAAGTACCCATAAGTCCAATATTTTGATTTGTGTTTTTGTCTTATAGTCCATACGTGAAATTCGTAAGAAGAAAGATAGAGTTTGCCTTACCCTTACGGAAGTTGTGGAAATGATCCAGACAATTTACAACCAGCATGGAGTTCAAACGTCGGCAGATTTTGAACCTGCAAAAAAATCAAGGCAACGAAAGAAAAAAAAATGGCCAAAATGGCGAATCATGGCTGCCCACTGGAGGAAAATCTCATCTGCAAGGAAAAAGAAGGAGCATTCATGTTCAGAGGAGGAGGACGAAGAAACGAACTTAAGTTCCAGTTCGTCAGAAGATGATGACGCTGATATATTTTCTTCATCTGACGAAGATAAGGGTGACAACATTGATGAAGATTGTGCCGTGTATGGAGAAGGGTCAGAAGGGGACTCAGGAGAAGACAAATTATCATCAGCAATGAGTAACCCTGATCGTCCTGACCTTTGCACCAAAAAACGTTTAAGGTCTATGAGGCCAAGAAAGTCAACAATGAAAGAAACCGAGTCTGAGTCCGACTCGGTTGAAGAATCGTACAAAAATCCTGGTAGCTCAAGGCGTCAACCAAAACGAAAAAAGACGAAAGTTGATGACCACAATAAAAAACCTCTCGATAAAGCTCTCAAGTCGACCAGAGCTGGAGAACAACGTCTGGTCCAATCAAATTGTGGCGAAAATGATGACTGCTCAAATAATTCTACAAGAAATAATAGGAAATCTGCACCACCAAAATCTATACAAACCAGAAAATTAAATCTTATTGCTCCAAGATCCATGAGGCGACCCACTACTGTTCAGCCTACACTGCCAGCATCCAAGGAACTCATACTATCTTTAGAACGTTGCGACGAACTGGTCAGGACCTTGGAGGAACTCTATTCTAGAAAACTTTTCCCTCAAAAGTCTGCCAAGACCTTTAAATCACCTCAACGTCCTCCAACAACCTTTGAGGACAAAATATATCCTGAGGTTGACCTGGACTTGGTGAAAGATGAAATAGTAGACGAAATTTTTAACGGAGAAAGCGATGATATCAGCGATGATATCAACAAGTTAAATATGTTTGGTTTATCAGAACAACCTAACAAATGGAAATTTGTTAACATTCCAACACAGGAAGAAGATGACGATTCATTTAACCCTCCACAAGATGATCCCTTCTCTGGAATTGGGAATTTTTAATCGTAATTTGTATTATTTAAGACTTACTAACTCTCTACTCTGTCTTACAATCTTACAATTTACTCTGTCTTGTTAGCACATGATCATGACCATGTTTTTATTGTTTGTAAAATTCAATCCTCATCAAAACTATTAAAATTGCTACAAGTTATAAAACGAGGATACAAAAATGTGCACAGAATCTGGCTGAGCATTCGTTTCTCATAATCTTCCAACCAGTCCGTCCGAGTCAATGCCAAGGTCACCAATTTATGCCTACATTCATCATCCTGTGTTACTTATGAGCCTACTCTCTTAATGCATATATCGTTGCATAATTATGCTGGTTATTATCACCAACCCAGATCCCATAACTTAATAAATTTTCGTCTGAATAGTGTTTGTGCGTATATAACAGCAGGCACGGCAAATCACATTTCCACTTTCGTAAAGTCGACACTTTCAACAGGGTAGAATCCTTAAATTTTGCTAAAAGAGTACATAATTGACAAACTTGCGACAAAAATGGCCGACAAAGTCAAAGAAGTTGAAAGCCTTGAATCCATCCTGGAATCCAACCTGCCCCCAGACGCTCTGGCAAGGGTGTGGACCATTTTGTATGGGACAACCTACCCACCCTGGTAAGCCCATTAACCTTAGGTTTAGTTAAAAATATTTCCATTAACAATTGATGTGCATATCTCATCTTGGCTGAATCAAAATTTACTCTGCACAAAAATAGTGGGTTGACAATTCCCCCAGCCACGGTAGACTTGGCCTCCGCGTCCTCGATTCAGGTGAAGACGCACAAATTCTCCGCAGCTTCGGAGCAACTCCGCCCCCCACGCATCGTACGTGTGGGTCTCTTCCAAAATAAGTTGCCACTCCCAACAACCACCCCCGTCGCAGAACAGGTCAGTGAATTCTACATAGAACTGCATAGAACGTTGATGTAACAGTGCATTTTTTTTAGCGTGCGGCCCTACATAAACTTGCTGAGAAAGCTGTCACGATTGCCGCTCAGGCTGGCGTTAATGTCTTTTGCTTTCAAGAAACCTGGAGTAAGTCCCTGTAAATGCATAAGCATAAATCCTACAAAGCCTTATTTTAACAAATTCTTCCACTTGTCTTGTTTCATTCATGCAGCCATGCCATTTGCATTCTGCACTCGAGAGCGACTTCCGTGGGTGGAATGTGCCGAGCCGGCGGAGGACGGCCCAACAACGCGATTCCTTCAACAGCTCGCTCAACGTTACAACATGGTCATCATTAATCCCATCCTTGAGCGAGATGGTGGGGATGTCCTTTGGAATACGGCCGTAAGTCAGAGTGAATCGTCTGAGGTGTACATAAATATTTCATAAAGGCCATGAAAGGTTATCTATTGTGTAGGTTATCTTGATGCAAGTGTAGTATGTAATTTATGCACTCAACATGCATGCATACATACTATTCTGAGATTGAAATAAGATGAGAATTCTAATTAATTTTAACAAAAAACAAACTCCAACTTTTCGAAAATTGACGAAAAGTAATTTAAATGGCTAACGAGTAGAGATGAGAAGGTGTTCTTCTTCTAGGTCGTCATTGAACATACATTCATATAGAAGGTTTAACTCCATAAGAACGCATAAGCCACATTGAGGGTCAGACTGACCAATGCGACGACAGAGATCCGTTTTCGACTCCTCCCACCCATCGCCATCCAATCAAAAAATTCTTTTAATTAAATATTATTTATTATACCTTTTTTAGTTTTCGGAGTTCAACTTTATCAAAAATGCAGTAAATTGTAAAGGTTGGACGCCAAAATCGAAACAAGTTTATATTTGTGATTGTTTCACAAGCTCAAAAAAAGTGAGAGGTTATATGGTGAGAAAGTTGGGAGGGGTCGAAAACGGATCCCTGGCGTCGAATTGGTCAGTTTTGATCTCAATGTGGCTTATGCGTTCTTATGGAGTTAAGCCTTCTAGGTCTCCTTTAGGAGGCTTATCCACTTTTCTCTGCTAGGTCGTGATTTCTAATTCTGGACAAGTTTTGGGGAAAACGAGGAAAAATCACATCCCTCGAGTTGGCGATTTTAACGAGTCGACGTATTACATGGAATCCACTCTTGGCCATCCCGTCTTCGATACTGCATTTGGTCGCATTGGGATCAACATTTGTTACGGGAGTGAGCAAAATAAAATTGAGAAGCACGAAACAGCACTTCTGTCTCATACTGAATCTTAATCTCACTGATTACTTCCAGGACATCACCCCTTGAACTGGGCCATGTTTGGATTCAACAATGCGGAAATTGTTTTCAACCCGTCGGCAACTGTGGGAGCACTGAGCGAACCCTTGTGGGGCGTAGAGGCCAGAAATGCAGGTTTGTGCCTGCTTGTGTGAGGAAGGGGGAGGAGCAGGGGGGATAACAAATTAAGTACTCGTACTCGTAAGAACGTGTGAATGGTGTGTATGCACAAATTATACGTGTACGAATTGTAAGCTCAAATACAAATTCAATGTAACCTGTTATATAGCCAAACAAGCATCAACTATGTTAAGCATGGACAGATAATCACATGCAGTAACTTGTCAAAGCAAACATGTAAAGATTCCGTCTTTTTATCCATTTTAGCCATTGCCAACAGTTACTTTGCCTGTGCGATTAACCGTGTTGGAACGGAGAGCTTTCCGAATGAGTTTACATCAGGTACGCATGCAAATCAATTGTATATGTAATCCAGATTTTGCACGTTTTATACCTTAAATTATGCTAACGTACAAATCAATTAGGCGATGGAAAGCCGGCGCATAAGGACTTTGGACATTTCTACGGATCTTCTTACGTAAATAATTTCATAAATAATTTAGTATGCAAATAATTTGACTCTACGGCCAAATTTTCTCTAAATATCAAACATTGTGTTGCAGGTGGCAGGGCCGGATGGGTCTCGAAGTGCAGTAATAATATAATATCCCAGAAATTATCTGTAGGATACATTATATTTGGTTGAATTCTATTGGCGAATTTTCCGCAGGGTCTTTCGCGGATTTCGGATGGACTATTGGTGGCTGAATTAGATCTGAATTTGTGTCGGCAAGTTCGAGACAAGTGGGGCTTCAGGGTACGAATTATCAAATATAGATCTAAATTGTCGTCAACAGGTGCAAAACAGTTAGTTCCATAAATATTTATGCATGTGCTCCATTTCTATGATCTTAGATGACTCAACGGTTACCAATGTATGGGGAACTCTTTACGAAAGCGAGCAAACCAGATTACAAACCCCAAATCATTGGAGAACGGGAAAAACCAAGAGAAGATTAGAAAATTTATTTCCTTTAAAACTCATTTTTCATTGGAATTGAAGAACTGTGTACTCAACAAATCAAATAAATTAGCAATTATTGTAGCGTCCAAAATTTCTAACTATTGTTTTTCCAAGAAGGAAAGTTAGAAGTAAAAAAATTCAGAGGCACTCTGGGTCCTGTAAAATGTTTGGGTTTGAAACAGTTTAGAGTCCATTTTGTGAGGCTTCTGTGTACACTCCAGGAAATTGAGGTCGTGTGCTAGAAAGGAAAGGTCAATAATTAGCTATCTCAACTCAATTTTATCCATCCAGCATGTTAATAAGGGTGCCGACTTACCCTCAACTAACAATCCCCCTGAGTCGACCATCACAAACTAATCCTCCGCCACTGTCTCCCTATGTTTAAATCAAACATGATCATCATGTACATATGCTAATCATTAAAGTTATGTTGTATGAAGTTAATTACCTGGCACGAGTCGACCCCACCCTCTGAATATCCGACGCATAGCATTATATCAAAAATCTCACTTTTCCCATAAGACTCTCTGCACTTATCATCCGTCATTGTGGGTACTGTAGCACACATGAGACCTTTCGACACGGATCCACCCTCTTTCTGAAATCCCCACCCACTGCATTGCGTGTCAGGCGTTATTCCTGATTTAAAGCTTGACAGAAGTAGAGGTATTTGTCAGGGTTGTTAAAGATACAGTAATTTGATAACTTATCAAATTACCTGTATCTGGGTATTTCTTTTATTCGAGCCCAAACTCAATTCTGCCGTCGAGCTTAAATTATTCATCCTGGAACCTTACGTTACAATCACGCTTTCTTCAAACAAAGAACAAATTTTGATATAATAAACACTTGTCAATGACGGGCCGTGGCAAAGGTGTTCCGCCATCCGGGGTGGGGAGCATCAAAGGCGTGGGGGGACCTAGTAAACCACCCCCGGTTGCACAACAACAAAACAAACCATCCCCAGCTCCACCCGAACAATCAAAACCTCCTCCGAAACCACCTCCACCGTCGCAACCTCCTCAAAAAAATGTCATTTCTGCTCCAGTTGCAGCAACTAATAATACGGCCCCGGCTGCCAAGAAAGTCATCGTTCCTTCCCCAATAATTAAGCCGTCACCGTCGCCATTTCGAACGGGTCCTCAGCCTCCTTCCGCCACCAATCCCAACACTCAAGGCGTCTCCCTCTTCACCACGATTTTCGGAACCGCCATGTTTGCCAACAAGTGGCAGAAAGCGATGAACGAAGACCGACAGGCCAAAATTGTTGAGATGTTCACGATTCCAAGGAACGATCCGAACGACGTGTACAAGCCCAACTCGGCGGTTGAGACGCAAACCCTGGCAGAACAGCCCTACTCGAAGCCACTGTCGGACGAGCGAATCGCCATGTTGCATGAAATCGCCATCAACTACGATTACGGGTGTCAACTGGATGTCATTGAATCTTTTCGGCCAAACACCTTCGTGTCGCATGAGAGTCGAGAACAACTCAGCCGACTCCCGAGCTGGTTAAGATTCCTCATTTTGATGCGCTATGACCAGATTCATGCAAAGTTTGAGCATCATACCCACCATTTTATCAAAGTATGAAAGTAATTGTACATCAAAACCTTTGATACATAAATGACAATGAAGGTCTCCCAGCGTGTGCTCTCCGACTTTGACCAAATTAAGTAGTACCGATTTATTGCAAATTTAATTAATATGAAATTTGCAAAATATGCATGCGCAGTTTTTACATCCGAAGAGGAGAGAAACCGCAGTAAATTTCGAAAGTGTAAAATTCGTTAACTTTAAAAAGCATTTTCTCCTCTTTGGATGCAGATAGATATCTCGCTAAACCTGAGTATTGTGAGAGAGCGTCTTTTCCAAACGTCACATTTTGTGACCGATTGACACTATTTTGGTCACAATCTGTAACCATACCCTGGGAGACCTCCAAAGAAGTATGCAATCAAACGAATGTACCTATTCATGAATTACTTCTGTTTGTAGGAGATTGCGAATTATGTGGAGACCCGTCGCACGACGACAGGGACGGGAGCGGAGCACATGGAGCATGAGCACGACGGAGCAATGGACGAAGATGACGTGGACGAATCTGAAATATTCGACAGATACACGCTCGAAGTGGGCGACATCGTGCCCCCCAGCAGACCCACAATCGCTCCCCTGGATGAGGAGGACGACGACATGGATCGGCCCACAAAACAAGGCCAGAAGAATAGACCCACCCTCGTCAAACACGCCAGGTTCAGTGGCGGTGAGGCGGAACCTGAGGATAGCGAATTGAAAGCTATCATGGAGAAAGATGACCTTTTCAAGGTGAAGACTGCAGGTAAATAGTCCAAACAGTCCAAACAATAAATCGTCCCAAACGAACATAAACAAGGAAGTCGCAGAGTGAAATGTAAAATGACATCCCATGAAAATTATGTATTTTTGACCTTCAACCTCGTCCTTGCGGTCATGGGTTGGTCGGAGGTCAAAACTCTTGACAGCGTTGATCACGGGGTGAAATTTCCTTTAAAATGGCACTCCATATGAAAATTAATTTACTTTTGGACCACATCTCCGCGTTTGGGGGGTGGTCCGATTGGTCTCATTATCGAACTCGACCGAAAATTAAAATTAGAAGCACATTGGCGAAACGTTAGATCATGTACTGTCTGTCCACCCTGCTTACGGGTGGACAGACGCACAGACAGACAGACAAACGTACAAATTGTACGGTACAATGCATAGTCAGTCAGCGAATGACGCCACTTAGGAAATGCAGAATCCGGAAAAATGGTTGTGTGAACAATTTGCATCACAAAATCATAACGGTGCAATGTCGTGCGTTTTTTTGTTCAGCATGGAAGTGGAAGCTCCCCACAACCCTGGAGCAGGATTGGGAACCGTCGACCGTTCACCGGGCAGCGACCACATTGCGACGTGCGCTGTTGACGCAACCCCTGCCGTCTGAAATCGCAATGGTGGCGGAGGATGAGAAATTGGCGAAGAATGAGAAGGGGATGATGAAAAGAGAGGGCGACGATGACGATGAGCTCGAACAGGGGACCGTGGCTGATTCGGATCGTTTCAAAAAACCATCTTGGGAGGACATCATTGGAACCAATCTTACTTTTAAGGAAGAGGTCGGTAGTCATCAATTACTTAATTACTCTTATATCGTGGGTTCCAATTTCCAATTGACGTAGGACTCGTTGCCAAAATCGTCAACATTAGCACATTTTTAATCATTTATTAGGTCTGGGATTAATTTTAAAATTCTGCAGACAAATTCGTAAGGCAGGTCGTTGCCAATTTTTTATGTAAAAATACACACGCCAGATTTGACAATTTTTGAAGATTTGAAGTTTAGGAAGGCTTCAGAAATATGGAACTCGTCGAAACCTCACCTCCATTCTATGAATCAACTTATACTGACTACAAATTAGTCGTCCAGAATTTTTTAATAAGTTCTCGTAGCCGAGAAATGATTAACAACGTGCTAATTTTGACGACTAAGGAGATGAGTCATCGAGTCCCACGTTAACTCTCACTCCATATCGCAGATTGCTGAGAAAGTGGAAGAAGATCTCCACAGAATCCCGAAAGGTCTCAAACAACACGAGCGAGAAGAGGAGGAACGTTTAGCTGGGCTCGTGACCAATAAACGGGACCAATTTGTATCCCCCAAACCAAAGTCGTGGATTGAAAGGATTAAGAACTCGGACTACATGAAACGTCGAGAAGAAATAAAGAAGAAGAATAAAGACTTGCAAGATAAAGCACCATCTCGGAAGTATTCCAACATTTGGGTCAAAAATTGTCCAATGGAGCCAGTGTAAGATTTTAAGATTTTTGAATTATCAGCTTATGGACTGTGCCATAATGATACCACATAAAAATTAGGTGACTTTTGACCTGGTCCCCATGTGTACGTCAAAGGACAAAAATATTGACAGTGTTGATTTCGTGGCGAACTTTCCTTTACGATGAGAAAGGTTCATTTTGGACCAAACCCTCCATTATCAAACTCGAACTGACAATGAGAACTAAAAATTAGAAGCACTATGACGAATCGTCATTGACGATACCCGCTTTTGACTACGTTGCAACGTTCTGGAGATATCGTGCTTACGGACAGACAGACAAACGGACAACACAATCACAATAAGCGGCTGACGCCACTTCATAATTATCACCTAAAGTTAGAGGGTCGTGATATAAAAAGATGGTTGGATGGATATTACTTTTTCAGGAAACAAGCAAAGCGGTTCCCTCACCACTACCGATGTGACGAGAGCTTCCACGCCTACGTGGTTGCCCTCGTGGGGTCGAGCTTTTTCAAGTCCTTCATCATGGTGGCAATCGTGGTCAACGCCGTGTCTCTGGCCGTCGAAACTGGCGAGGTGAAAACTTATCACGTTGTGTTTGACATCTTGGATAATCTCTTCTTGTCAATCTACCTTGTGGGTGAGGCTTTTCAATAAATAACCCTTTTAGTTCGCTTAGTTCACAAGTCTCATATTTATTAAAGACTGTCATGTCTTATAATTTCAGAATTTCTCCTGAAAGGTGATACATCATAGTCGTTATACGAAGAAGTAGTGGTAACTTATTTTGTAAATCCTCGTGCTTGCACAGTGTATGCGCATCCATATCGGTATTGGACATCCGGATTCAATCTCTTTGACTTTGCAATCTTAGCAGTCTCCCTCTTGAACGTGCGCACATTCATGGCTCAACTTTTTTAAGTGTTGCCGATAAGTTTGGCCATGCACCATAAATAGTGGCCACTGGCCAGCTTGTGACTTGTGCAAAACTGAATTTTTAAGCATTTTTGGACTCTCAGATAAATTTGGAATGAAACGGTACAAGTTTCATATAACAAAAATTTCATCTTTTTTATCTTTAGAGCAAACTAAGCCGTAAATGGGCTGTAGACAAGCTGGCCAAAAATTATCAACTTTCAATTTTGTTCCAATTTATACCATGCAGTTTGCAGTACCCTTTTATCTTGGAGTTCAAAATTGCTTAAAAATTCAGTTTTGCACAAGTTGGCAACTTGTGCAAGCGATCTCATCTTCAACTCTGTTCCAACTCTTCGGCAACACTTTTCTTAAAATATGAGACGCGTTAGATGCACCAATAACGAGTAATGTATTTAATTTTGCACTCCTAGTCAATCCTCGTCTGGACAAAGGTGGACAATCTTCCTGCTTTGAAACTTCTCGTAATTTTCCGAGCGCTTCGAATCCTTCGTGGAATCTCAATGTCAGTTCAAATCCAAGTGCTGATCACTGCTTTGGTGGAGACGCTCAAGACGCACGTCCTCTCCGTCCTCATCCTCCTCTTCCTCCTCATGTACATCACGGCCATCATTGCCTACTACTTCTTCTCCCCCTCCGAAGGGCTCAACCACCCCTGGGGAAACATTCTCAAGGGCATGCTCAGACTCTTCTCATTCGTCACGGTTAATTATTCTGCAACTTATACTTCTTCTTTTTTTGGTTAAGCATTCCCAAATAGAATTTCAGCCCTACGTTGTTTGTGTGTACAGTTGGACGGGTGGACAGACACGAGTGAAGAGTTTGAACGAGCTGGCTATACCCACAGCGGACGCGTCTTTTGTCTAGTGTGCATACTTCTCGGAAACTTTCTAATCTCCAATATTTTCATTGCCATTATTATCATGCAAATCTCCGAAGCTACGGAAGCATTCAGGGTATCGTATTTGTCATAAATCGCATAAAATCCATCAACCCCAATGTTGTGCGTGCATAAAAAATATACGTATGCATTTGTATGCACGTAGACTCGGGAGCGAGACGAACGCGAAGAAATCATTACCCTCAAAAAGGAAATCGTCTTCCGTCGTCAAAAGCTGGACATGCGACAACTCCTCGCAAAACAGACCGTTTCCACCAACGCAGACTTTTACTATTTAGGTTCCCAATTCTTAAAACTGCTCAGACACGATGATCTCGTTGAGATGAACAATGCTCAATTCTCGCCACTTTGGATGGATTCGTTTTACAAATCCGAAATGCGATGTCATCACACGGCAAATGTGTAAATACGACAATATTCATACTTTAATGACATTTTTTTATGCAGAGGAAAAAATTATATTAATTAACACACACTCTCCCCCTATTTTCTTGTTAGACTTATGAATCTGCACCGTCAAATGGCCGATAATCTGTTAACAATGTACCGAAAAAATATGGAATCTCGCTACAGCGTAACACCCATTCGTCGCAGTCGTTACAATCGTTATATGAAACTCAAATCCAAATTGGCCATCATCCGCCAAGAATTTTTTCGCGACATGTCCTCCAAAAAGAAGCCTCGCCAACTTCGAGTTAACATCGGAAAGTCGGAATTCCCCCAAATTTCGAAGCAATTATTGGATCATGCAGCATGGGAGAATGTGGCTAAAAGTGGGGGTGGAACTGGTGTAAACCAAGATGCGAGGAAGATGCTCCCCACCGTGGATGAAGAGGACGAACAAGCCGTGGACAAAGAAGAACAACAAGAAGATAACAACGATGACGATGAGGAGGACATGGCAAACAGATTTCCTACCTGACATTCCTTATACATACATAACTTTCATATTATAATGTGACTCGATTTATTATGTAATTAGGTTAGTTTATCACTCTTTTATTATGTGTGTACATACGCAAAATATAAAATATTAACCAAGAAGTCTAGTGAAAGTAAGTACGGTTTGGTTCTTCCCGATCAGAAGTTCAGCAGGTGAAAATAAAAGTAAAAGCGTGCATCAATCAATACCATAATTTTAATTGCATGCAGTGAGATAATAAATCCTATTTTTATTGCTATTGAGATTAAGAGGTTGTTCCGCTATCCAAATTAAGTACGCATACCTCGTATCCGCATATTTACTTACTACATTTAATTGACTAGTTTTTCTCATGTGCATGTCAAAAGAAAGTGGAGAAAGTTGTGAGAAAATTTCCCAAGTTTCTGGGCTCAGGATTCCCCAACCGCACGGTGCTTGATCTGGGAGATGCAAATGTCGAGTTGAACGAGCTTCTCACGAGTGACGAGAGAATAAAAACAATGAATGAACAATTTTAAAAATTTAATATTTAATTGTTCAAGTGTTTTAACAAATATATATTATATTCCTCAACTTAGTAAACTCTTAACAGTATGGAGTAGCAAATTAATCAAGAAAATACAATAAACCATAACGAGGCGGTGGCTTATTGTAACGAGGGTAAGAGTCTTTATGGTTGTTTGCTTGATTAAATAAATTTGTTTTGGTAAATAAATTTGACAAATATTGCCCTATATTGATCATTTCGTATGAGAAACAGATATTATTTAGCAAGAAGTTATAATTGCTTTAATATGTTGATTGTTTCATTTCATTCGTGATGAAACTAAACTTAATAAGTGAGATAAGAATATTACAAATATTTATTAATCAAATTGCATTTATTTGTTTGTATGATTGCAGTCGACTGAGGATAAAGTAATTTTTTTTACTACAAGGAGAGTGCTGATGAGACTGATGGCTGATTATTTCTTGCCAACTGACTTTCAGTAGTTGGCAAGTGAGAGTCTGTTACAAAGATTATTACTAAAGACAAAGGAAGCAATCAATAAGATGGGCGATCTCACATTAGAAAAGCGTGATGATGGTTGTATGGTATGTGATGATAGTATTTTAGACTCCTCAGGTTTATGCAAGTCTATATTAAATATATCATATTAAATCACAGCAACCCTTGGATCTTCCTGGACTTGAACATCTGGAAAGCGAAAAGCAGTTGAATGTTAATCTTGAGTTGGTGAAAAATCTTGCTAGTGCTTGGCAAAGCGTTAAAACGAGCCTGGAACAGAACACCATAGTCGAAGTTAAAGATGTTTTGCGTCAATTGCTATTGTAAGTAAAGTTACGCATTTATTCAACTAGAGTTTGTTACGAGTTAAACATTAAATAATTTACATTTTATTTGTAGATACACTGCGTATACGGTGCTGGATGCAAAATATAAGAACAAAATTGAGAATTCGACAAAGACAATACTCACTGACGCCATTCAAGGGGTGGAGAAATTCGTGATTGACTCAAACTTAAAGAAAGTTTGTTCTGCCCTAAACTCGATCTGTGGTGACCCTTGGGAGTACGCGGCCTTCAAGGATGCTGCCACAAAAGAGTTGTCAGTCCAAGGTGAGCTCTAATAAATTGCTCATTAGAAAAATTAAATGAATCTTTTAATTGACAAGATTTTTTACAATCATCGTTTTTTACATACACAGTAATTGATTCGCTTTGGGAGAATGAAGGCGTTATCTTTCTCGAGGCAAGATTGGAAGTTTTGGCCCGCGGAAAGAAGCTTAAGGATGCTTCGGCAATTTTTATGTCGAAAATTCTGCACATACTTCTTTACAAGGGCAGGACGAGATTTATTTTGGGAAACGACAGTGAAGAAAACAGTGATTTCGATCCTTACCGATTCACATTCCATAACTATCTGGAGTACTTGGAAATCTACGCACTCCTTTGGAGTAAAGTGGAAGCCGCATTCGCAACGAATGTAAGTATTAATTTTGTACATGTAGTTCATGAATAATAGATATTATTTATGTAATAATATCAGTAAATATGTACTTCTTTGTCCTGTGCAGATACTGACTGATCTCAGCCCGTCCATCATTTCTGAAGTGATAAGCATGCTGAAACAAAAATCAACGACTGGGTCAAAAGGACGATTGCTGCCAAAACTTTGGCAAGAAAATACAAAGGATATCCTCCCCCCACTCATTTCGCTCGTCCTACCCCCCATCCTAGATCGTGTCTGTGAAGTGGGACATATTAAATCGTTAGTCACACTACGGTTGGATATTTGCATTGGTAATAATCCGGATCCAGTTCAACGGTTGGAAGAAATGCTGGATGATCTCTCTCTCGAGAAGATGAAGACATCTGACAATATTTACGCTCTGAGCGAAGTGATTTTAGAGAAGGTATTGAACTGATTTCTTTCATTTTTCATTTTATTTCACAACTTTTGCAAGTTTTAAAAAATGCAATTGGGATGAATTGAATTATAGTTTGATCATGCAAATAAGGACACTCGACGCCATTATGTGAACACTTTTCTGAAGGCCATACTCAAAGATATGAACGTGATTGAAAATCTTCGTGCAGACACTCCTCAAGACCCTGTAAAATTACAGGAAGAATATTTCAAATTATCTCATCGATTCGTCTCCCTTTCCAACTACTTTCAAGACTTTAAAAATATGTCCAGACAATTAAAGTTGACGGCATTTTCTCTCAATCCAACGGAAAAACTGTTCAACGAGTTGTTCCCAAGTGATGATGAATCATCTACTACTTCTACTAGTCAAATAGGAACTGCACCGCCAAACGCTGCTCCGTGCAGTTCTAATCCAGATGATAGTGATGCAATTTCAACACCTCCGTCACCAATTTCATCATTTTCAACAGAAGGACCAGCAAAGACGGGAAAGTCGGAAAATAAGTCACAACTCGAGAACCCGTCTCCAGAAGAAGAAGAAGACCTCCAACTTCCCGAAACTCTGGTTGATGATTTAAACTCCGTCTCGCAGACATCACGATGGGGTGCGTTGCGTAGCTTTACAAAAGGGCCCGAAGTCAAAAGACTTTGCACGCAACTCTTAAAAGCTGGAAGTGACTTTCTCGTGAAAGAGAAAGAACTAGAGTTTGTGAATCCCAATTATCAAAAGTATGCCCACCTGCCCGTTAAATATGATGATCACGATGGATTCGAGAGGGGTTTCTACGACCCCAACAAGTGTCCCAAACGAATTGCTAATAGAAAAAATAACAACGGCAAAATTAGAGGTAATAATTTTGTGAAGAGACGAATCCAAAATGCTGCCAATATTAATCGGAAAGTTGGTCAGTTATCGTGGAAAGGAAATCATCACCCGCCCGGGTTCAAGACAGATTTAAGAATCGCTATGAAAAACTCCTCGATTAATCATCTTACTCGTCCTTCAACATCATCATCAAAACAAACCTCACGCAAGTCTTTGAGTCATTCAAGAAATGAAGGAACAAACGCTGATTTGGCTAAAATGTTGGCTACTATCAAACAGTACGTCAACAAAAATGTGTGCGATATCAAGAATCAGCGCAATCGTCATCAGCAGAAGAACATTATGAAAACCTATGAGGAGCGGTTCTGTCACCCGGCACGTCCAATGCCTGGATCATACAATTGGATTCCTGATCCTAAACCGTCAAGCAATTCCATCCCTTCCTCTTTCACAAAGGGAGAGTCACAACCAGTGAGGAAAGTACCAACCCGGTACATTCCGAGGAAGACTCCTTTCCACTCTTCAACGGGATGGCAGAATCAGGATGAAGATGCCCTGGCGTCCAAACTGGCTCGTGGCTTCATTCAGGAAGACGCGAGACAAATTTCTGTCAGGACTCAGGTTGACTTGCTTCTCCCAGAAGTTGAGGAATCTGATTGGATGGCGGTTGAAGAGAAGAGGAATGTAGACATGTACTCCAATCTCAATCTGATGAGTTCTACAGTCAGGTTAAATTCTGACGAGATTCCAGTCGAGCTGATCAATCTTACAGCCCGGTATCTCAGCCTAAAATCTGAACAATTGCGCGAAAACGGCCAGTCCGGAGACCACGATGTGAGGCGTACTAATCGAAGCCCCACTACTGCTCAGATGCGAGACAAATTTAGAAAAATGGTGTTCAAGGACGATGTTGTTTCAGAATTCCAATTTGGCTTAATTATGGAAATGGGGTTGAACAGCAAGCGCATTGAGCCATCCCGTGGTCCGTCTAGGACGATAAAACATCAAGCCATGTTGAAGGACGCTACGGAGAGAATGAAGACTAATTTGGAACTGGAGACGTACAAATGGAAAGAAGTTTTGGACAACGCCAAGAAGGATATGAGAACTGAGTCTGGTAATAATTAACAACTTGTATGAATGTACTTTCTCTCGTATATGTATGTAGCCAGATTTGAAATATTCTCTTTCTTAACAGAAATTTCCAGATGGCCTGAGTTCCTGTCAGCGTGCAACGTTACTGGGGAGAACCTCACCGAAGAACAAATTGCATTTGACAAGTATCGAGCAGAGGAAAGGCTTTCGCGTCGATCAGCACCTGCGTTTAGATGCCCTCCAGTTAACAAGAAATGTAAGGTTAAGCTTCAAGTCTCAAATCTATGATGCATTTGATAATTTAATAATATGTAATAATTATTTAATAATTTGTTAACGGCAATACATTTATGCGTTTTCGTTATGACTCACGACAGACAAGACTCAACCCGAACTTTCGACTCCGTCATCTGTCCTTGCATCATCAGGGAGGAGAAGTAGTGTAGACTCGAGAACGACCCCGTCCACCCACCCTCCTTCTCAAAGAGGTTCGAAAAGGAGAGGTATGAAATACTTGTTTGCTGGAATTACTAATTAGTAGTATTAGTACTATTAGATTTGTTTAATTATGACAATATGTATGCACACATGCATGTTTCTTTGTTTCTAGCAAAATCATCATTTTAATTTTTTATTGCGAATTATTTTCTCCTCATTTTGTCACGATTTTGATTTGAAAGCTTTGACGTGAATGATAAATTCTATTGTATTGTTCTTTAGTGTCTGTTTTATTTTCAGGTTCTGTTCTCTCGTTTGTAATTATTATAAATGTTCTTGATAACCTTTTTAAATGATAATGGTCAATTTTTTAGCATCTAGTAATGCCAGTCGGAAGGAACAAAAATATCTGGATGAGTCTGGTGAGAAGAAATTATGCTTGATTAAATAATATGAAGGACGAAACATCAGGTGCATATTTTTGCGAATATATACACAGATTCTGAAGATTCTTCGTCGTCGTCTTCGTATTCGACTTCCGCTCACGTCGCCAGCAACAAAAGACGCTACAACTATTACCCTGATCGTGTCATTTACAGGGCCATCATTGCCATGTTAAGGGGTAAAACAATGAAGGATGCTGCAGAAATGAACGGAATTGGCAGAAGTGCTCTGTGCAAGAGACTCCATGTCATGAAAATTCGAGAAAAGGGTCAACTCATCATCCCTCCGCATTTATTGGAGGCCATGAATGTGGACGCGGAAGGTTTGAATTGTATTTTGATTAGTGTATCGATAAAAAATACGTAGTACATCCATGCCAAAGCTTTCAAATCAATATCCTGAGGTACAAAACTAATGAAAGCGTATATACATTATATTGGGGATAGATTAAATCACTGTTATACATGCACACTATGCTGTCTCTAGTCCCTTGTCTCAATGAAGGGCTGCTTAATATAAAAAAATATTAATTGAAACTTTGTTGCCCGTTTAAAGGAAACTCTTTCTCCTCGGATGTCCCGTCAGACAAGAGAAGGAAGGCATACTCTGAAGCTGACTTACACGAAGCTATTCGACTAGTTATTTTCAGAAACTTTAGCTGTAAGAGTGCACAGTTGAAAACAGGTGTTCCTGCTCCTACAGTTCAATTCTACTGTAAGAACATCAAACAAGGACCCTACAATGACAGGAACTTACTAGCGAACGGCAATCCTGATGATAAACTGTTAGGTATATGTAGTTCATGGTTTGTCATGAGATTGGTTATGAAAGGGCAAATTAAAATTTTGCAATGTTTTTATGTATTTGAAGAAGCTTCGCTAGCCCGTAACGCTAGAAGTTTGGAGGAGAGCGACGAAGACTTTTTGCCTGCACTTAAAATGTTTGGAAAAGGCAAGATTACTTTGCAACGAGCAGCGATATTGGCTGGTATTTCATTCGAAAAGCTGGTCGCTATTGTGGATAGATTTAAAGGTGAGCACAACCGACTTGCAATATACACACGCATAAGTCTGGGATAACTTTATGGTAATTTAATTCAATGCAATAAACTTTTAGTAAATTCCCCACTGAGGAAACCTGGACCAAAGATGTCGTTGGACGTAGACAAAAGGAGCCCGTCTCCATCACATGACCAAACCTCCCAACAAGAGTCTTCCTCAACACAGTCGTCTGATGTTTCGCTTTTAGACAATGCCATCAAAATTGCCCCTGTCCCAGCAACTCCTGCTGCTACCGATGCCCCTGTCCCAGCAACTTCTGTTGCTACCCTTGCCCCTACTTCTGGTCCCGAAATTCCACCACCAATGGAAAAGCCAAAGGAAAAACCCAGAACAACAGTTAATTTGCAAATGCTTTATAATCCCATCTTCCGACAATCGGCTGAAAGTATTTCTGGAAAACCACTTGGTACGTTTTTTTGTTAATTTGACTCAATAAAATTGTCGTACACAGCCAAACTAATCTTTATTGTGTAGCAATTCCTTCAACAAGACCGAAAAAAGAAATTCTCGATGATAGCACCGGAGAAATTAAGATAGTCGATGACACTGGAGACGACCCGGCATTGGATAAAATAATTGCGACTCTTCCCCCGTGGTCTGATGAGGAAGTCGTAGTTGAAAAGAAAAAGGAAATTAATATATCTTTAGAGGATAAAAATGAAAAGGGTAGTGATGTGATCCTCGTTGACACTCTTGAAAAGAAGACGGTGGGGCAAGAAGAGGACCTATCTCAGACCAAGGTCATCTACCATTCCGTGATAGGTGACCCAACACCTCAGAAGATTGTCTTCAAGAATAATCTCAAGTGCCGAATATATTTGAATCGTCAGGAAGTGCAGGCATATATAGATAAGCACCCTAGTACTAGCTCCTCCTCAAATTATTCTTTGTCCCCTTCATTGCCCTCGCCAGAAATCAAAGTAATGGAAAGTATAATGGAAAGTTCCTCCACTGCCACAACAGAAGTTAAAAGATCCAGAAGAATTCACAGTATGCCCAAAATAGTTTTTAAGAGTGGGATTCCAACAAGAATTGCAGAGCTGAATGGTGCTCATCCGATTGACAAGGATCCGACGATAAATGGGGTTATCGTCTCATCCAGCAATAAGCGAAAACCTGAGGAAGTGACTGTCCAACAACAACAGAATGGGGATTCTTCCTCCTCCACGACTATCAACACTTGCAAGAAGCGCCGTGTGGACAAAGAAAAAGAGAACTTGCTCCCAGTTTCAGCATCAATTGCGGCAGCGGTTGCTGCTGTAGTGACAACGACAAGAGAACCTACAATTTCCCCCGCCACTGTACTGGATAGTAAAATCCGAAAGGAAGCAAACGGAAAAGTACAAAATGTAGCCAGGAAGAGGACCAAGCGACCACAACGACGCCGCCGCATTTCATCAAGTTCTTCGTCCTCACATTCCATGTCGGGGAAGGATTTGGGTGAAAGTGCGAACATTCTTCCTGCCGATGAAGGGAGGAAGAGTCCAGATGACGATGACTTTGATGATTTTGAGGACGAAAGTTCCGACGAAGATAAAGATAGCGATCCTGATTACGTCCCGGATGAAATGGATCTGTCCAAGATGAATAATAAGGCACAACGAAACGTTTTTGAACCTGTGCTTTCCTCTCAAACCAAGCCTGTCGAGTGTACGCCACCGCCACAAGACCTTAATTTCATTAATATAATTTCCAACCCTAACACGGTGTGTTCATTAAGAATGCCATCTTCGTCTGAGTTAAGAACTTTGAATTTTCCCCTTCCAGTTATAAATATAAGAACAAGTCATCACACTCCCCTTATCATCGCCAATAATACCAACAAAACCAACCAACCACCGCCAAGAGTATTTTCTACGCCAACTCATCCCGTTTTGACGCATAACATGAACATTTTCCAAGGTCCAGTTGAAGAGGCTGAAGAGTTTACACCCCCAGTCGTTAATAAACGCAGGCCCACGAAAAAAGCCAAGACGACGACGACGACGACGACAAATGGAAATAATTTACCGACACAAACGAAGCCTCTAACATGTGATGGGATACGTAGCAAAACAACATACCTAGCTAAAAACTGTACAGTGAAGAAGGTACCTCAAGCTCGTCGCGAGGATCCTTTACTTGAAGTTATTAATCTTAGCGACTCGGACGATGAAGCTGAAGTACAACCACAAATAATTCACCAGAATGGAATGGGAATTGAATCCATCCATCCATCCATCCTCACCAGAAACCAAGAAGCTATCTTTTCTGATCATCAGTCTTTCTCATTTCAAGAAATTCCTTCTTGTGACTACAGAATCGTTCCAGACAATGATGATGATGATGATAATGATGGCGTTAGAGAAATACTTATAACTGGTTCTCAGCAACAACAACAATCTGTTGAAATTGGAGGTCCGATTGTTTGTGGAATAGATTCCACTGAAATAATTTCCTTGATGACAGCTCAACAAGTCGAAACTCGAAAAAACTTTGCTTCCATTGAAGATGAGTTATTTTGTGAATTTAGAGACAAGAATTCCTCAGATGCGAATGTCGAAACAAGAATGTCATCTTATCCCTCCTCTGCTAAACCAAGTAGTCGTCAAACTTCGGAAACGGATGTCAGTGAAATCTCAACATTTTCTTCCTCGTCAAACAACTCTCCGCATCAGTCTGAAGGGGAACTGGAGAGTGGAAAGCAATACACCAACGTTTTAAACAACTACTTGCCACAATTGCATAATAATGAGTTCTATGAAAATGCAGAAATTAATCGGAGAGGTATTTTGGGTTCAATATTATCACTATTCGAGATACTGTATTAATTTAAATTCGCAACTATTTCAATTTACAGAAGGGTTATCAACAAATCAACAAGAAGGTGACAATCTTGTGGCCTCAAATAGTGAGAAACACGTGGAGATGAGAAAACCGGACCCCACCCCTTCAGCTAATAGAATGGAAAATCGGACGCAATTGTCACAAACATCAGGCGAGGATAAGCCAGAAGAAATTATTAGACAAGCTCCAGCTCATGAGGTATCAAGCCCATTCCAGGATAATCGCCAATCCCCACAAAGTACTAGAAGCGTCTCCCCTCCAATCGAATCCAACGCAACTCCCAACATCTCTGCTGACCCTATTGAATCAGAACTTTCATTTCTGTTTGAAGAAAAAGAAGAAACTTTAACTGCTGTTAATCCACCCTCATCCCCGACTCCTCAACAATTACAAAATTATGATACCAGCCCAGCTAATAATATGGAACCAGTTGTCTCTCCCCTCGAAGCTGTGTGTCAAACTAGCTCGTTGGGGTCTCCACCCATACCCATACTTGAGCCAGAAACTAATCAAACCCCTGCAATTGGGGAATGTGACGACTGTCCTCCCTCCCTCGAATTATCAAAATATGAGCCATAACTTGTGTTGCTATAATTATAACTTTCGTGTGTTCATTATTTTCTATCACTATTCCTGTTTGACTCAGTTTTGAAACGAACGTTCTTCGTTTTCTATAATGTGTTACGATCTCAAAATTCAGAGATGGTAGAAATCTGTCTATTTATATCATCCGAATAATTGATAGATAATTCACTTCTTTTTTTAAAATTATATTGCGATTCGGACTTTTGATAATCATGATCTTTTTACATTCTCCCTTTATTTATTTACCTTCACAACGTTGTACTACTGCTGTACTGATTCTATTGTAGCATTATTTTGTTATAAATAACTATTTTACCGCAAATGCATAAACTTGCGATTGTAATTTATACTCGTGTGATTTTATTAATATTAGAAATAAAATCGAAAGTAAATATCGTTGAAGTACATGTACATGTAAATTTTATTTACCGTTCTTTCATTACCCATGTTATGCTTTATACTAATGACTAAACAATACCATATATTACCAAAATTTACTAAAACTAACAACTACACATAATCGGATTTAACCTGGCATAACCTATTTCATGAGCTTACAAAAATTAATCATATGTAAATTATGGAAATGTAACAAAGATGGGGAACCGGAGATGCTATTTAAATTTGTCTCGAAACTCTGCTTGCAAAACAAGCTACACATGATGACATTTTTCTAGAATTTGAATTGTACAATTTTGGGCTAGTTTGCAATTTGTTAATCTGCATCAGATTTAAATAGCGTGGAGATGGCTTCAGTAGCAGTGCATTTGTACATACGTAACGTAGTGGCAGTGTTTGCTGGCTGGTGGTAGTGATCAAACCTTCACTTTTTTATCTCTCTGTCTGTATACTAGTGTGTAGCCCTATTTTGTATTTAGAATTAGTAGAAAGAAATCTTGCCTTGCTGAAAAATCGGTCGCCACAACGTGACCATTTGATCCTTTTTCAGTTGAAAAACATTCAAAGATGGCATCTTTAACAGCGATTTCACACTTGGTCCAAGTCCATGCGTAAGTCGCGAATTTAATTATTGTGAGGGCGTTGTTTTAAGTTTAATTACTTTTAAAGTAGTTTTGCTAACTGCCTGGCTATATTATGATTTTGTTACACAGACAATTAGACGAATTGCGACAAAAGCTGAATGTGCCAAAGATACCATTGACGAATGAAGCAATTATGACGATAGGCTCACAACTTCAGGTAAATATGTCATATTATTTGACTAATTCAAAATATTAATATATATAAACTTGTGTATTCTTAATTATTAATCGATTGTTACTGCTATGTAGCCCTTGTACAAGAAGTTACTGTTGGCCAATTTGGATGATGCAGTGTCCCGTCAGTTGGAATTGGGATTGTGGGGAGATTGTTTCAAGGCCCCATTGACGCGATTTGGACGCACTGATAAGGCTTTGTTCCACTTTATGATTGAGTCCGGGGTCGGGTTTTATTTGGGACTGATTCAAGATATTGGGGTTCATTTCGATATTTCCTTCATCACGTATGGCGAGAATGACGATTATAATACTTGTAGTATTCTTTACCCATGAATCTGAGAGATCTGAATCTGATCTGATAAATTAATTAATTTTCAGGAACACAACATCAACCAACAAACTCTACTGCACAAAGACATCGCAAAGTCCACTAGTAAGTGAATAAATGTTAAAATGCAAATATCCTTCAGTCCAATAAGTTGATATTCCCGTTTGTAAGGTGAGTCCATCCAAGGCTTCTGTGTACTTTATTATTCAAAATTGTCTACTTCATGTCGGTGATCTACTGCGATATCAAGGCAGCTTTCCAGAAGCATGCAAAATGTAAGTGTCAAGTTTATTAGACATTTTTTGTCAAATATGTGGTCAGTCTGCATGCATAATTACGTAATTATTAATGATAATGCATCTATTACAAGGTACGAAAAATCTGCTTCAGTTTGTCCATCGAATGGCTTTTCCTTCCATCAGATGGGTGTGACCCAATTGCTCATTCCAGCAAATGACGAGTACACTATCATGAACAATTTTGTGTCTTCTTTCTTCTACCATGCACGAGCGTTATCAGTTTCCAATCCTCATTTGCAGTCTTATCACGCCTTCGATGCAATAACGGCCAAGATACTGGCGTAAGTACATAAATTTACAGAATTTCATTTCATATTGCTACTTTTAATTATAATGACTACTGATGAATAATATGTTTATGTGCATATTTAGCATGCCCGTTGGTACAAACAAGTATCAAGAATTTGTTCGTCAGTTTTTGCTCATGATCTCTTCTGTTCTTCGCAAAGATATGTTACCCTCCAGTTTCACAAGCAATTTGGTGCCAATGTTGAGCCCATTAGTGGCCAATCAACAAATCAAGCCGAGCATTCTGTTCCAAATGCTTTGCATCGCAATGTGGACCCAATGGCGACTTTTATACAGTGAAGAAGGAGAATGCTCGCGAAATGAAGAGGCCATTCTGGAAATTATTGCTGCAATTTTCAACGCCATTTTAATCGCATGTAAGTGACTTTTAAACAATTATTGGAAGCTAAGCAATCTGCATATATGTACATCAGCCAAAAATACTACTTCATGAGCTCGTTGATGATTCCCAATGAATTCTTATCAAAGTAGTTCGAATTGGTTTGCTAATTTATTTATTTAAAATGGGTTTTTGTTCTATCACAGCTGTCGGAATTTTTGGAGATCATTATTTCGCTCATAATAAAAATACGCCTGATAGACGAATCGCTTCAACAGTTCATGGTATCCATATCTATCTATTTTGTACTCATTGTAAATATTTTTTTTTCAAGTCTAAGTTATTCTTTCTTCTAATTACATTATAGTGAAGTTTGTGATAGACTGGCTGGTCCGTCTCTACCGGAATGATAAGGCTGTGAAACAAGTCAGATTCTTTCGAGAAAAAACGCACATGTCGAATCTAGTCAAAGTCTTGAATTTAATTAATGCAACAACTCATGATATTGACCTTGAAGATGTCGTTACTACCTGTAATTTCATTTTACCTGAAGAAAGAAGACTTATTGGATTTCTACCATTGGACTATACCAGTCTTCGGTATGTGCCATTAATAAATACAAAATATTGATACAACAACTAGTAGCAGAAATATATATTTCAACATTTCTGTTGTTTAGCACAATTGGGACCATACTTTTGGGCGACAATGATCCACAAACCCAGTCGTATCGTTTATATCGCCTAATGCAGACTGCTCCAGCCCTATCTCAGCCACACACTACCTCATCATCATTCACCGACAGCTTGTCCATCTCGGACAATTTCAAATTTTATACTTTCGATGGAGCCGAATTTGGAGAGGCAACCACCTACAATTCAGGTTGCTCACCATCTGCCCTTCCAAGTCGTCGCAATGTCGCCCTCACCAGCATATTTCGATCTGGACTGGCTTCTTTGGGGGGAGGAGAAGGAGGAGGAAATAACAATTTCACGTCGTCTGTTTCCACACCGAGCTTTGAGTTTGGAGATGGCAACAGTAGTTTCTGTAGTTCGGGAGGCGTTGGGGGTGGGATAAGTCCATCAAATTCCACTGCCAGCTTGAGCCCCATGGCCCTTCCCTACGTTAGTAATCTTAATAATAGTTTCAACAGTAGTGGTGGCAACTACTTCGGTTTGGGAACTCGTTCGAAATCCTCTTCCAGTGACCCATTCCGTTCTATTTGGACCCCTAATGACGAAAAGAAAGCGACAAATAACGACTGCTCTGCTGCATGGAATTAGGATCGGGAACATATTAATCAGATATAATAAAATAAGGTCACGTGCTGGTCATTATATTTACGGGGAAGCAGTGTATAAAATAATTAGGTACATGGTGGAAAATGTAGTCAAAATTTAACTATTTAATTTCATGCACGTAAAATCTCCAAGTTTTAATTACTAATAATAATAGAATATATGACGAAATGGATCTGAAATGAAAATTCTCAAGTTCAAGATGCAATCATGTTACAATTATTTTTTTCAAATTGTTCTCCTCTCTTCGATACTAATAATTCCTACTTCCCATGCTTGCACGTGCAACTTGATTAGTACCGACGTTAATGCGCACATGTTAGCGAACGGACCTTAATGACCGAGCTATGATTTAATTTAATTTTTTCCACTTTTGACAAAGGCCAAGCAGCTACATATATGTTTCCATTATTCTCTTTGAAAGTTTGCTTGGCTAACTTGAAGGAAATTTAAACTTTTCAATATTACAATGTATTGTATACATGCTCTATCCCGCAGTATTACTGAAACAAATTAATAATTATTTGAATTTGTGTCAACAAACTTATAAATAGGATTAATTATTATTCCAATATTATCTTCTTTAGTTTATACATCAAACGAAACTTCATACAACTAGAATTAATACGTATCATCTTGCTACAACTTTTTAATTGCTTATTTAGATCAGTTTTCATGAATCCTTTCGGTCTCGGATTCCGTTTTTCTTAAATTTCTTCAGTGTTCTTGATTTAATTATTATACTACTTACTACGATTGCTTATCAGTTTCTCAATACTCTTAAAATTATTATCGCATAGTTGCGCTATGCTGAATCAATATTGACGATACGATAAAAATATAGGAAATATAATAAAACGGCAGTAATTGTATTGTATTAAACAAATTTGGTGGCATACTTGATTACATATTTCATACTATTTATTTCTCTATTATGCATTTCTATCAACGTACTCATAACAGAGTGTGAAAGAAAAGAAAGCAGTGAAAGTCGTCACCCTTGGTTGGATGCAGATTGAGACTTTTTGAGGCAAATTGAGACTTTTGAGATGGGAAAAGGGCTTGAATGACAGGGGAAACCAAATCGTGTGTGGCGTTGGAGGAAATGCAGATTGTAACACAACACTGCGGGCCGGTTTCGAAATTCTGATTAAATTTAAAATTTTGAATACTTTATAAATTACCAAAAATTATTGTCAATTGCTGTCAATTTAAATGACAGTTAGTAACGAGAAGGAGATGGGCGGTGAGGAAGACGAGATAGACGTGGTAATCAACCCAAGGTGTTTTTTTGGTAAGTAAATAAGAAAAGTCACGTCATTTCATTATTTATATAATAAATAACTTAAGTCACGTCATTTCATTATTTATATAATAAATAACTTAAGTCACGTCATTTCATTATTTATATAATAAATAACTTAAGTCACGTCATTTCATTATTTATATAATAAATAACTTTTCTTTTCTGGATACTAATTGCGTTACTTTTTATATAGATGTCGAGATCGGCGGCGTTAGTGCTGGTCGGGTAGTTTTTGAGCTGTTTGCTAATAAATGTCCCAAGACTGTCGACAATTTTCGCCAACTGTGCACAGGAGAGGGTGGTGTGGGAAAGTCCACGGGAAAGCCACTCCACTACAAGGGAACCGTATTTCATAGGGTCATCAAGGAGTTTATGTACGTTTTAGACTTTGACGAAGAAATACATTCGCTATATTTCGTGCTTATTAGTTATAAATTTTGACACATAATTTTTCACAGGATCCAAGGTGGAGATTTTACCAATTTTAATGGCACCGGAGGAGAATCAATCTACGGTGGAACATTTGAAGGTTATACATTAATTGCGTATTAATAAATAAGTCAAATAAGTGAGCATATCGATCTTATTATTGTTTTGTTTGTGGGTGGTTTAACTTGTAGATGAAGATTTGGCACTGAAGCATGATGAACCATTTCTCCTGTCGATGGCGAATCGTGGCCCCAACACTAATGGATCACAGTTCTTCATGTAAGTTGATTTTGTGGTTAAAATTAAATAAAAATAAAAATATAAACATATAACCCGTGATTGGGGGAAGGGGCGTCAGCGTTCGTTAAAGAATTCGATTTCTGTCGTACCCATGTTCTCTTTTAAAAATCCATTATAATTAACTAATTATGCCACAAATGATAAAATTAATACCGGGGCTTGTCTTGAAGGAGATTTGATGACAATGATGAGGGTCTTGAGATTGGTAACTAATTGTACTTCGTTCTTGTTCTTTTATTTGCAAGTGTTGGTGGGTGATTTATGATGATGTTGAGATACGATGTTAACCCGATGTATTTTGTCTCTTCTTATAAACTAGACTCACCCAGCCTGCTTCTCACCTGAATGGGTAAGTAAACACCACAAAAATTATATTAACTGTGCTCTGCTGCATATTTATGAGTATTTTTGGGTTGTGTTTCTTAATCATGCATTGTTTTTGCAGTATTCACGTTGTCTTTGGAAGAGTTGTTAGTGGTCAGCAGATTATAAAACAGGTCGAAGGATTGCCAGTTGATAGAAAGTCTAGACCTTTAAGTGACGTTCGAGTTTCTAATTGCGGAGAGTTGATTTTAATGAAGAAAAAGAAAGGTACTGAATGACTGACAATTTTCTTATTCAAGTATTGTACAAGTTACTTTTGAAAAGTTGCTCAAAGTTTGGTCTAATGTCAAAACTAAATTTTGAATTTGCATATTTCCAGAGAAAAAACCAAAGAAAGAAAAACCTGTAAAGGAAAAATCTGACGTCGAGGATGAAGAAAGGTCTTCTGGGGAGTTATCTGAAAGCGGGTCTGATTCTAAGAAACGTAAAGCAAAAGCTTCGGAAAGCAGTACTACAGCCGACGTGATCGAAAACCAGTAAATAATTATTGTTAATATTATGTTCATTATTAATATGTACACATCTTACATAATGAACTGCCTTAATTGAACTTTGCTGTTTACTCTTACAAATTAATGTTCAACAGGGAGGTTCAGCATCCATTAGTTTCTTTACGAAGCATTGATCCAGATGAAATACCGAAAGATCCATCAAATCATTTTTTAAGCAGAGGGAAACTGGAGGAAGCTGATGACAAGGATAAGACAGGTGAGAAGGACAAGGACACCAGCAAGGATAGAAGGAAGAGTCGAAGGAGTACGAGTAAATCAAGGTCGAGAAGTCGAAGTCGTAACCGTGGAGGGAGAGACGATAGAGACGATAGAGGAAGGGGTGATCGTAACGGCAGTGATCGTGGAGCTCGATTCGGTGGTCCTACCAGATCTACTGACAATGAGGGAAGAAAAATTAAAGGACGGGGCAGAATTGTGAGGATTTTTATTTAACACGTCTTTCTTATTGTGGGTTGTGTGTAATCCTAATTCTTGTAACCTCATTTCAGTGCTTTCCACGTTTCTCAAGCCGATCCAGAAGTAAAACCCCACCTCATTGGAAGGCAGAAACTAGGAAAACCATTACCATGAAGGAATTTGAGGTGTCTAATTAATTATTTGTTTCATTATTTATTGCTGGAATACTGAATTCAATCATTTAATTAGGAACGCGAAAAACGAAAACGTGACAAGGATGACGAGCTTCGTCGAAGACAAGAAGAACAGAAAAAACGCCACGAAGAAACAGAAGCGGTTGTGCGCCCATCGTCTCGACCTGAACGTGCCACTCAACCAGATCATCGAGGAGGAGGAGGAGGAGGCAGAGAACGCGACCACCGACCAAGGGAACTTGAGAACAGAGGAGTAGAACCCCGTCGACACTTTTCAGAATCCCTCCGCAATCGCTTCAGAGAGTCAGAATCTGAAGACATGCCCTCATCCACTCGGGATAGGGAATCTGAACCAAAATCAAAAACCAAGGATGAAGAAAGGTCGGCTAAAATTGTGGAAGAATTGACCTCAAAACTCCAGGCTGCTGGAGATGGAGTTGTTTATTATCAACACTTGTACAAGGCTAATACCACTTCGGCCATGAATTTAAATTCAAAAGACAAGAATGATGACAAAGTCGCGGATAATAATGATGACGACGACGATGATGATGATGAAGTTGCAAATATTCTGCCAATTAATAAAGCTCTGCTCGGGAATATTGGCTTTGATTTGGACCCACCATCACCAAAAGTCAGCAAGGAAGTGCACAACGTGTCATCATCATTCATCCCAGCAGTTACGACAGAGGGGGACGGGGACGAAGATGAAGGACCACCTGGGGAAGAAGACGAAAATGTGTTGGCTGAACTTCGTTTGAGACGTGAACTTCTCAAGAAAAGGTTGAAGGATTGGGAAGAAGATAGTGCCGACGAGGGTGACGAAGATGGAAACAAGGATAAATCAGTTGATCAAAAAAAGCTGCAGAGTGCTATCGAGGCTGAACTGAAAACATTAAATGCGCACAGAGGATTGTCTCGCAGAACTGCGAGCATTGGTGGTGGTGGTTCAGATGTAGGGATCACGGGTAAAGAAAAGGACGATGATGATGCCGTTTCCACATCGAAGCGAGTTGCTCGGAAAGACCGTTCAAAATCAGGATCTAAATCAAAGTCAAGATCAAAATCCAGGGATCGTCACGGTCGAGGACGCGATCGAGGAGGTCGTGAAGAAACCAAAAGACGAAGGAATTCTTCCAAGGATGAAGGGAGTCGCCATCGCGGTGACCGTGACCGAGATCATCATCACCGACATCGCAAAGACTCGTCGAGAGACCGGAAAGACCACAGGGACCGGGATCGTCATCGCCGCTCAAGAAAGTCAAAATCTCGTTCAAGATCAAGGTCTCGTTCTCGAGGACATCGCAGTCGACGTTGATATGTCAATACGTTATTATTACTTGTTTGCTTAACAAATCCACTGGATTAGACTGGACTGAACGAAAATTTCCTGAAACTGTTTTCCTCGTCTGTTTCAGTTCAAACTTGAATAAGTTATGACTTTCCTATTATTTATCTATCTAGGATTTTACGTCATAGCCTACTAAAATTATGGGATAGGGATTCTTATCCGTTTTTCCGTTAGGAAGAATCTTACTTTGTTGTGTGTACAATTTATTTTGTGTTTGTCTTGTTCTCTTTCGATATTTGAATGGGTTATCAGTCATCTTATTTATCGAACCTACATATGTTCTTCTTGCTATGTCAAGCTTATCACATCCTTGACCTCCTACTAATGACTAACTCATGTCTTTTGTCTTGTCTACTTGAAACCCGACTGGAATTTCATATTTATGCAAAGCTAACTTGTAGTTTGCCTGCAAAAAAAGTTTCTAAATTCCAAGTAATTCCGTATCCACCAATTCATAAACTTAATGTTCCTTACTTCAATACCCTTTAGCTTTTTCCTATATTAGCATAAATATAGACTTCTTCTATGGTTAAATCTGTTAATCTTACTTTACATGTCACACATTTTAGCCTATGAAATTTTTTCATTCAAAATTCTAGTTTAGCCGTGTCTGTATCGAAATAAAGCATTGTTATTAAATTACGATAATTTTGATTTCATGATCTTCATACGAAATATCTCATGAATTTAACAAGAATTTAGCTAAATTCGACATGCATTACAATTACTCTGATAAGTAGTCGGCAAACTGGGGGCATTATAACAACAACGTTACATCCCTTGTTTTCTCTCCCATATTATTTACAAGAGAGTAAACCCTGCTAAAACGGTTTAGCTTATCCTTAGTGCCCGTAGTTTGGCTCACTCTTGTGAAGAGAGTGGAGGCTTTTAGACTTTTTACTACACTGGTGAATTCACATACATGGCAAGACTCCCATGTTTGCAGCATTTTTTAGTAAAATCCATCCCCTAAAATACAATGGGCATATTTCAACGCCATTTGTTGATTTTTACGATGTAAATTAATTATTATAATTTATTTTTATATTTCTATTTTTGTAAAAAATTATTATTGGCGTTTTGGTCTTTCAACTCTCACTTTGCTTTCACTTTTTTTCCTTGTCCAGATTTAATCTATTATTTTCTCCTTTGCTTTTTGACCGTCCGTTAGTTAATTTTTTCTCGTCATTTGATATCCGGATGCTCCCTTGTGCTTTAAGCCAAATGCAACTAACTCGTTCGGCTCTCAGTTTTTATACGAGTTTTTGGCTTTAGCAAGGAGCCAAAGGACAAAAGACTGAGATCAGTTCAGTTCAGTGGTTTGGTTGGTTGGTTGCTTTTGGTCTTCGATGGCCTGCTGCCTCCTACTACAACTATTTTACATTTCATTACTCACAAAATAATAATATCACCAACTCACAAGAGTCCGATTGCTAATTTACTTTCTTCTCGCAAGCCGAGTATTTACTCAGAATAATTGGACTGCGAGAAAAAATTTAAACCAATTGTACAATTACACAAAACAAAAAGTTGCTGAAAGATTTTACATGTTATGCAAGGAAAGCATAAATTTAGGAACGTGAGATTTTAATTTAGTAAAACATTCTTTAATTAATGTGTGAAAAAGATTACAACTCTAACTCTGTGGCAAAATTCCACCGTGAAAGTGTTTTTATACAGTAGAAAATAATTTTATACCTTAGTTTTTTAGGACTGAATTAAAGTATGGACACAAATTATGGATTTTAAAGGGTGAAAATTTTGTTAATTTGGATTTTTAGTTTTAGTTATGAATTATTTGTTTCATCGGTTTAAAGTTTGAGTTAGTTGCAGTTTGTGTTACAAGGTGAATAAATAAATAGTTCCTACTTCGACTGGGATTCATTTCTTTGTCTTTATGAAATTAACTCATTGTTAAAAACGTAGTGTCCTGCGATTAAAATAGCTGGTTATCATCATGGCTGCGAGTGATGACGAGCCAATGCATCTCTATGAAGTGTTCCAAAATTGTTTTAACAAGATTGCAAATAAACAGCCACAAGGTAAGTGATTATTGAAAAATACAATTATCTATTTGGTCAAAAATTTGTAAAACGTACATTTACTCCTTACATTACACGTTTTGGTTTACATTTCGAGAACGGGTTCCATAATTCCATAATTTTTGTAGTTTATTAGTTAACATAACCTTTTTCCAAGTGAAAATCGTTAGAAATATAATCCTTCATACTACTTCATATTCAGGGGAATTATGTATTCTTGGGATTAATAATTTTATAATTGATTATCTGAGAAGGTCAATATCTTTCATACTCACTCACAGTAAAATGCACAAATCGTCTCAAAATAAATTATTGACAAATACTGCAAATCATACATCACATTTTCATGTAACAATTGGTGCAAAACTCGGAATGCAGCAGGAGAATTTCTCCTGGAGAAAGCATTTATTTACCCGTGTTCACAAATACTTACTAGTACATACCTTCAAGGAGAAGTCAATATTTTTAGATGACTTAAAATTAATTAACTCAAGACTCAACTAAATCATAGATTTGGAGTTACACACCTGACCTGAAGCTTTAAAACATACAGTCCTATAAATGTATGTATGTACATAGAAGAATGTCATTTAATTTTCTTTGTATTTGTGGAGCACTCATCTGCATGCAAGCACGGGAGTGACAGTTAGATAACCTCTTATCACTTTATCACCTATCATTATCAATATCATCGTGTTTGATAACCCACGTATTAAGTAAACTATTGATGACTTTTGAGCGTCATTCGTTCAAGAGTGTATTGTGTTTTTTTCTGAATTGGTGAATTAGATGATATTGTTTTTAATATCGTGACAAATAATTAAATAAAGGAGAGATGCATAAAACAATAATGCTTGTGATGCATACATATGTAGTACATAGTCTTCTTATCTGACCAGTCTGATAAGACACTATTTGTTTAACAGTGAGTCTCAAAAAAGTTGAAACTTGTAGTCTTACATAATACGATGTTTAAAAACACCCGTAATGAAAGAGAGGAAATGGTTTACTCAAATATTTCAATATTTAGCTAACTGCATTAATTCTACTGGGTTAGAATCATGGTCATTTCAATCAAATCAACACATAACAACTCCTATTTTAAGCAAGGCACACATCCATAAAAAACAACACTAACGTTTATTACCGTAGTAAATTATACTAGCTGGACAAGTATTTAATGGTTAAATGTTATTAACGGAATTAATGGAATTATGCATGTACAAATGTACATACATACAAACGTATGTATGCAAATACACAAGTCGCTGGTGATGCAATTGGATATTATCTTATTCTCACGAAGGGGTTCTCATATGATTTCAGTAGAGAAGGGGCCGTACTCGCAGGGGGGGAATTATGGGGTGGACAACAACGGGATGGGGGGTTACGCCCCCTCGCCGTATGCCGGGGGTGGTGGTGTGGATGACCAGTCCTCCTTCGGCCCAGAGTCGCCTTTCTACAACCCTTTCCCGTCCTCCCAACAGCAGCGGCGGATCATTCCGTCGTCGTCGTCGTCGTCCCATCCTCAGCTGCCAGGAAGTGTCAAAAGGAAGAAAGAGGTAAGTCACAGCTCTCCTAATTGAAATTTGGTCAGGATGACGAAATTCGTAATTTATCAGTCATAAGGTTTTGCTTAATTGCTTATTGGTTAATATTGATACGGGGATTGAGTTGAGTTGACGAGGAAAACGCGCATCTCATTATTATTGGCTCGTTAATAATTGTGTACTGTTATAAGGAGACATATTTCATGAGAATCATTCTAGGACACAGTACCCAAATCCATTATTTAATGCTTTTCCGAAATGAAATATCTTCAACTATGTATATATCACTTAAACAAAACGAGGTTTGAATTAGCGATGAATATTTAAACGAAAGAAATATATTTCAAATCGGATGAAATTGTGCTATTGATCATCAAGCAAAGTCATTGGATTTTTTAAAGTTTGGGACATGAGCATTTCTTGCAATATTTGTGCATGTAATTCAATGTCAACGCAAGTTCACTTTTGTGTGGGATACTTGTTCCGCGTGCAAGTCTGAATTTTATGAGAATATTTGCCAAAATGTGAGAAGATAAATAAATAAATATGACGAGCTGCGTGGTATGAGCAGTTAATGATAGGATGCAGATCACTAATATGCCCAACCTTATAGGATTCATGTACCTCAAGCTTATGGCTTGTGGAAATTCTTAATTTTCTCCGAAACAAGGTTTCGAATAAATAAATAAATGTGTTTCACGAAAACGAATATTATTTCTGAAATTGTAACCGCTTAAAAAACGACAAATGTTCATCCTTGTATCTGAGTAAGTATTAAATAAATTCTTATTGAAAAGGCATTTCTTTGTTGTTTCTTATTTGTCTCCTCCTACACATTTTTTGTATCTCACAATATGCTTCTGTTTTACATTGGATTTTGTCAAACCCTCAATTATGTTTGTCAAAAAGTTTTATTTTCAAGCTGAAAACAAAGAGATTCAATTAGTCGGCTATGGCATATGACTGAACGGAATAAAGGATGAAAAACACGGCTGAGCAAATCGGTCGGCTTTTTTAAACCAAACTTTATAAATTAATTTAGGAATTCAAAGAAACTTAAACAATAAGATAAACTTCATTTTCTTTGGATGAAACGTAACAAGAAAAATAGCCATACAAAATACAATTGATTGTATGAACTGCTCGAAAAATAATTCCTGGAAATTGTCATAATATGTAATTACATTGCATGCATTAGGAAACATCAGTAACTTTATGAGCTTTGTTACCATACCCAATTCGATATTAATACAGACATTAATCTGTACATACTAATCGTTCGGAGTTGTTAGTTGTCAATCAAGGCATAATTTATTTTTATTCCCGTAATTTTTTTTCACAAAATTATTTTCCATAAAATTTTTCATTTGTTGAATAATTACCATTTCGCTGATTGATTCTGACAAATGGGAACCGTGAAAGTGCTGTCTCCATTTTTGCTCCAGACAAGAATACCAAAGTACGCTTTTCTCAGGAAACCTAACATTTTCCCCATTGTGTGCTGGAAGAAATTAATTGGGAAAATATGAGCTTAATTATATCCAACTTTTGTTTCCCAACTCTTTTTCTGTGACAAATAATGGAGACTTTGTTCACTTAAAACCATATGGATTCGCATTAACAGGTGCTATGCAGGAAATGGGGTGTTCAATATATTAAGGAAATAAAAGAAAGTGCACAATTGATGATTTCCAACAATCTAAATACAATTTTTACAAGGGCAAAATAATTGAATTACTAATTATTACTCCAAAACGGTTAAATTAAAATCACTTATTTATGTATTAGTGGCTACCGCAAAGCAAAACACGTCAAGAAAGAAGCCGCAATAACAGAATATTTAATGCCTAAATTCGTTACAGACAGAACAAATCTCCAGTTTTTTTTCGTCCTACCACCAAACCGCCTAATCCACCTTAATTAGAATGAAATGAGTTATTTTCTGGACTAAACTCGTGGCTGTTAATCATTCAATTTTTGCTTTATAAGGATTTGTCTGGGATGGGTCTCTCCCAAAATTTGGAATGACATGCAAATAATGATGCCAATATGAAACAACAAGAATTCAAGAAAGCAGGAAGATTCATAAATTTCGTTGTTTCAGACAAGCCCTGTAAGATCCTTGCAAGAAGTCTGACGTTAATTTTATTTAATTTGAATGCAAAATTCAAATATTCCAGTTAAGCAGAAAAGAAGAAGCATGCAAAATTTTCACATATATTTCATTACGCTTCGATCCATTGTTACTACTATCGCATAGGCCCGTATATCATAATACATCATATTATATAGCACTTAAGATGCCATGGGTCCATGTGACGTGTGGGATGGGAAGAAAGGAACACGACTAAATGGAAATTTATGTGGAATTATTACCATTTTAGAATTGGGAGTTATTTATTTAAGCAAAACACACGTACATATGCATATTTCTTTTTGTGTTCATAGGGGATGGAGGGCAGCCTAGATCCTGGAGATGGACAACAGCAGAACTGGGTAAGCATTCACTCATGTTTTATCCACTTTTGTACTTCTGAGGACACATTATTACGTGTCCATCCATTCAAAAAGTAAGGCACTCAATATGTAAATCGGTCTTGGTTGCTTTGTCCTTGACCTTCGCAACATTTGGGTGGGTGGAAAATATTTAGTTGGTATAAAAAAAATGAAGAATTATCCTGTAATTTATGTCACTTGTCCAATTTTATGGCGAATATGGTGCATGATACTGCACAGAGGAAACCTACATTTATTTATGATACTGACTTGATGGCTGAATTTCATTTCGGGAATATCGGATTGCATAACTCCTGGGATAACTTTTCAAGTTTTCAAAGTGAAAGCAGCCCACATAATGCAGTTCTATTTGTATTTCTGCATGCATGTACAAATATGTAGCCTCTATAATAATCCAACTCACTTATCCCTGGTTTTGACGCTGTCAGAAGAACTGCATCACTGCACTTGTGGATATTTCGCAACATTCATTTCATTCTTATCATCAACATGATTTTGATTCGAGCTATATCAGTATTTACTTGTTTTTACCAAGCTGTCACTCTGTCCATCTCCATCAAATTATTATACATGCATCACGTATTATCAATATTTTTAAACTTTACTACTTTTAGAGATGAGCTTCTCTCATCGCTCTACATGTTCATGACACTTAAAAAAAATCACATTTGACCAAACTTTCGCACACAAGTTTTCATTTAAAAAGCAAACCCACCCGTCTCCCACATCCATCCATTCGTACTCTCCGCTAAATACGCGTCTGACCCAATACTTATCTGCCCCTCGTCGTCGTTATCGTCGTCGTCGTGGTCGTCGTGGCCGGCGTACTTAGCGTTGTTTGTAAGTAAAGCTGAACAAGTAAATCAAGCTAAACAGCAGCACCTGCTGCCTTGAGGCTACCGCACAAAGTAAAATATATAAAGTTGAACTTCTACTGGTGCTTTACTGGCGACTCCGATTCTTATTACATCACAACACCAGCTTCAGCTCGAGCTAAGCCTAACCAACCATTTTATAATAGGATAAACATTACCACGATGATAATGATGAGATGAGAATAAAAGGGAACGAACTCGACTCACTAAATAAACTTAGCACAAAGCCGTAGAGTAGACCTATGTGTAGATGTAGATGGATGGATGGATGGATCATGCAGAAAAGAACAGTAAGGTAAAAGCACATCATCCCCCATTACAGTTACATACGTGTGCAGTCCACAATTTCCATGCTGGTTATTAGGGATACTCTTTTTTACTTACGATCGTCGTCGTCGTCGTCGTCGTCGTCATATCCGCATAAAATTTATCGCATCTCTCGAGCCGATAGTGGCGTGATGAGTCGGCTGGCGAGCTATGCATTCATGATTCAAGACGAATGGATACAAGATCGAACGCAAAAGTGTTTACTTATTGGTTCCTTTTACACTTTATTTATATGCATACGACGACCATCGCACCGTGACGGACACTGATAATGATGCGGCATGGGTGTTATTGGTATTTAACGGGAAGGTGGTGGTTTCATTCTGGGTGATGATGAGTACAGAAGAGCTACGAATAGTATCCATCCATCCATCTAGCATTGTGCCACTTATTAACTTTTTTCTTTGAATCTGCAGGGAGTACGTGTGCCATATGCCACGACTCCCTGCTCGAGATGGGTTCTTGGGCAGGAAAGGAAAATGTAATTAGTGGACAAGCAATGAGAGAGAGAGATGAGATGTAAAAGTTAAATGGAGTTGATTAAATATGAGAAAACCATTTTGCAATCGGGAGAGAAAAAGATTTAAATTTTACATTCAATTTCGCTTCAATTCGAATTAATCAGCTCTATATTTTTGTGGAGAAGAAGTAGTAAAATGGATTATAGTAGAAAACAAATTATCATGAAAATGTGTGTAATCGGATCAGTGGAGAGAATATTAGCACGTTAAATTTGATAGGTTGTTGTAATAGAAGGATATCATTTGTCGATTTGCATAATATTAGTGGTGTACGAGGAGGAGAGGAATACGATACTATGTAATATTTTATGGGTTTGGTATCGATGTGTCATCATCATCATAATGCAAATAAGTACTTGAATACATATTTTTAATGAGATGGATTTAAATATTTGTATCACATAATCCGTCCACGCTGAACGCACGTATGTACATTTTTATGTATCAGTTGGATATGTCACTTCATGCATATCGATTTTGTATCGTTCGTAGCTAAAAATTATTGCATTGTCCAAAATGGAGACATCTAATCAATGTTGAGGATAAAGAATAACTTATTTCATCATTTCGCCATGGAATGAAATATTATTAACTTTAACTGCCCTTAATAGATTCTATAAAGTAAATCATGCAATAAAATCCAGCATTTTCCTCATTCCTCTTAATAAGTCGTGGCTGGAGAGACTTTATGACTTGGCTGGATTGGTTATGACTAAATTGCGGATAATTCAACACCAAAAAAACAATGCCCACAATTTCAACGTGTATATTATCAAAGCCAAATTAGTAATTAAGTCATTCATCATCCACTTTATGCTGTAACCACCCTCGCTACAACTCCTTATTCATAATCCTCATCATATCGTATTTACTTGCGTTTAATTACTATTTTTTTACTGTCATGAATTATTTCCTTCTTGGGAACATTTTTCTGAAATCTCGAAAGAAGAGGTGGGATGTAAATATTTATTATGTAATTTTGTTATTGGATAAAATAAACTACGTAAATACGTATAAATACGTTTTATTTTATCCAATGACAATTTTCACGCATTAATCCCGAAAGCGTCGGATTAGCGAGAACTATGTACATGAGCACATTTACAGAGTGGGGTTTAGAACGCCTGAATTTTTACGGCACGTTTTGAAAGACCAAAACTAAATAAAGTTGAATAAAACAAACAAAAAGTGATCTCCTCGATGGTCGTGTCGTAGGTGTCGAGTGAAATATCATTTATTCCTCTATTTGTATATTTGTGGTGTGGAAAGTTTTAGCCGTGTTGTTGCAGATATGGATATTTGATACTCGCCGAGATATTATTATATTTAGGTGCGATTTCCACTTATATATCCTCCGATCCTCCTGCCTTCCACGATTCGCTACGAGCATATCTCACCACATATTCCGCACATGGATATAGGCCGCCTTACCAAATAATAAGAGTGAATTGGGATGAAATAATATAATATTCACCGCACACCGAACATGAAACTCTGCAAAGTAGAATACACCATCACCACCCACCATGAAGCACCCCACGTTTTATTTTATTTTGAATATTTCTCTCAACAAAATTGCATCCCTTTTTCGGATATGAAACCACATGGAAGTGTGTAAAAGTGTGCTTGCGTGGAATCTTTGTTGTGGAGAAAGTACGGAGAAAGTGGGTATTCATTTTGGGGCATGGTGCGAATCTCTATTCGGATAACATGGAGACTCTTATCATCCAGAAACTTTGAAGTCGTCGTGCTGGGCAATATTTGTAATGGTTTGTGGACCACCCCTTTTAATAACTTGTATGCATCTCATCCTCAGAAGACCAACGCGATACTCCTGGCTGACTTGTTCAGTTTCTAGTTTTACGTATTCTGGCTGATGCATGTTGTATCCATCTCAGTATCCGCTCCTAGTTTGTATTCGATGCATTTCTGGATTTGTAGATTTGCCGAGAACGTGTTGAAATTTCCTCGTTCTCACCCACCAAAACGGAACAAGCGAGTAATATGACGGCGGCATTATTATAGGGAAGATCCGAAATTTTGTTCTACTCCTCACAAAGCCAAAGCCAAATATCAAAACTCGGGTTGGTTTACAATTTCGGGAGGTTTGTAGGGATTTTGTCCTTGGGTTTCGTGGTTTGCTTGGGTTGTCACTGGGTTTAAAGAGAGAGAGAGATACATGGTTTCATATATATAGAGACAGAGAGATGTATGTATGCATAGTCGTAGTTTTGGTTGGCTGACTGGCCAGAGAGAGACGGAAGAAAATGTCACTTATTTGCTTTCACAGATGAAATCGTGCCATGTCATTTTATACTCGGCACCACCGACACGGGTGAAATCTCATAACGGATCATGCCTTTATTTTAATATGGATTCAGTGGCTCGGATAAAACGGGAGGACAAGGTAGAATAATATTTGATGGAAAGCAGTCCCCCGCCTTCCTGCCTCGAGGATAAAAAAATCATCCAGAATTTCGTGCATAGTTTAAAAAATCGAAAATATCTATCGTTTAAAAAATTCCAGGAGGATTATTCATGTCAAAAGTGAAAGAGACGCTATGTAATATACACTGGTGACAACTTCAGATAAGATCTCGTTGTCCGTTATGGTTTAATTTGCTTAAATCTTTGCATAAAACTTATGAATTTTTATTTCACGGAAATTTCATAATTTGCTATTCAAGATTGCAGACAAGATTTGAGCTATTTTTGGATATCCAAATCAAATCAAGATGACGGACAAGTTTTCTATTTGTATGTATGTATATTTATACAAATTTAATTTTTGTGTGCATAATTGTGCATGTAAATATGACTAACCGATTATAATAGTTTACCTAACTTGTATGCCTACTAGTTTAAATAGCCTCAAAAATTTGACATTTTCCAAAAACTGACACCTAAAGATTTTTGCCAAGGATAAGACATATTTGCAAGGAACTGAATTCCTTTACCACGTCCTCGTCACATGCATGGACTTCCATTTTAGGTTTTATTTTATTGTTCCTCACATTACAGCGAGCCAATTACATTTAACGGTTTTTTAAACCCTTATCCGAGTGTGTATCATCCGAGAATGTATGCAATGCTTGATAATAATGTGTACAAGTTTGCAGTTTCTTCCCTAATTCCGTTCACGTTTGGTTAGGAAAGTTTTCATGCGGTGACACGTACTGTCAACATGCTCTCCTCCACCCCACATACATCAGACGAGATAAATAATTACATCCAAATATGGCAACAAACAATCAGA